AGGTGACCTCATGCCACCCGTGCCGGCAACACTTGGTCAGCCCCTGGGATACCCTCCCTCTGCAGCACCCTTTGGGCAGGCCTCTCTCAACCCATTTGTGCAGGCCACGCCAGCACCTGTGCCGTTGTCCCTGGTCAGGCCCCCTGGCAGCCCTTTTGCTCCTTCCCTAGGCCATGCTTACAGCTCCAGCATTATCACATCACACTCCACCTTCTATCAGCCCCAGAGGCCTCCTCCAAACCCTCTGACGCTGTCCATGCCTAACCTTTTTGCCCAGTCTCCAGCAGCCCCAATGCAAAGCCAGCTCCCTTCCCAAAGCAATACCCTGCAGCCAGCAAAGCTTTGTGGCTCTTCTAAAATTCGAACATTGCCCCAGACCCATTCTGCTTCGAAACTAGAGACCCAGACGAGGCTGGCTGCAAGGCCCATTGACCTCCCGCTTGTTCCCCACAAGGCCAAAGCTGTAGAGTCAGTGTTACTCCCTAACAAACCTCAGGCTACTAAAGACCCCTTTGAAGACTTGCTAAATAAGACAAAGCAAGAAGTTTCCGTTACCCCAGGTAAAGTGGAACAGATGAGAAGGCAGTGGGAAACATTTGAGTGAATCTCCCTGTGGGAGGGGGGCTTCATTCCCTGTAAGTTGTGTGTTGAGCCAGTATAAAAGCACCAAATTCCATTGGAGCAAAAGGGTTAGTCAGCCAGGAGCTACTACCTGTGCTCCAACTCCTGTTGGTAGGATGTCCTGGCTAAACACTGTTAGGATCCCCCTGAAACCTTCACTGGCTCCCTTCCCATGGATCACCGTCATCCTTTAAGCCTTCAGAGTAGCTGAAGAAAACACTGGGGTGGGGTAGATAAGTCATATTCCCAAGCTTCCAAATTTCGTCAGAGTATCTACTGAACTGGAGAGTGTTCAGTTGTCAAGAGGTATTTTCTTGCAGCCACGGCCCTCTCTCTTCCTGCACCCACTAGGGTCCACTTCCTCACCAATGTGATCAGTATTGAATTTAGGAGTCGGTCCTGTGTTTTCACAGGCCGCGAATCATGTTTTGCTTCCAGGTGTAAATGCAGGTATAAACACGGGATGAATTTGCCACTGGACTTTTGAACCGGGACTCTTTGTTAATAGCTTCTTCCTCATTCCAGTGCACTTTTGATTTAGTGGACATGTGGCTCTTTGAACTCCCTGCACTGTTCCCCCACCCCACAACCTCTGCACACAGCGGGGACCCATTCGCAAAGGGGTCCCTGCTCCCCTCCCAGTTTCTCTGTCGATGTTGGAGAGCACCACACTGCTGGGTTGCTAGGAGGGCAAGCACCTTTTCAGGCTCATCAGAGAATTGGAATCACCAGCAGGACCTGTTTAGAAGAAGACACACGATGCCCCTATCATGGTTCCCCAAAATCTTATATAACTGTGTGTGAATATTATATAATATTATATAATATTATATAGATCTATAGATATATATATATGTTACTAGGTGGCAGTACTTCGAGTAGATGTAATCGTACCTTATCTTATTACCAAAAAGGGAGACGACCAAGGTGTAAAGAGTTCTTGTTTGTGGTGAGCAGCAGCAAAGCACCCCAAAGTTAAAACTGTAGAGCACAGGGGGACAAGTGTGGGCTTTTCACAGCACGTTTTAAATCTGAGTGTAAACTGCTCTTTAGTAAAAGCAGCTTTTTCCAACCTGGTTCTTCCCAGGTGTTTTGGGCTGCAAATCGTTTCAACCCCAAACCAGCACAGTTGTGTGATGCCGCCCAAAAGCCACCTGGCGGGCGCCAGGAAGGGCAAGGCTGCTTAGGAGCATGAAGAAGGCAGCCTGATTCCTCCTCCCTTGTCATCCCTTGCTAGGGAGCCACGTTGCTGCGTCCAGCTTCCTTTTTGAGCAAAGAACACACAGCCAACGCCAGTTTGATCACCTCCAGAACGCTGCCGACCTGCTACAAAGCCCATTGCTGTGTTTGCCCTGGGCCTTTTGCAGCCCTGGAAATGTCAGCAGTTAATAGAGCAGTCTGTTTCATTTGGTCACTTAAGTTTTTGAGTTTTAAAAAACTTGGCTGAATTAGATTTACCACCACCCCATAAAAAACCACACCTTTGGGACCGTGATTAATTTGCCACCGAATCTGTATACACCAGAAGTCACCTGCACACACAGGGGGAGCCAGTCTCTGCCCCTTTCCTCTCCAGTGTATGCTGCTGCTGCTGCTGCTGTCGCCACCTTTGTTTCTGTGACCTCCTTGCAGTTTCCTTCCTGCTGCTGAAGTGTTACTGAGGTTTCTTTCTCCATGCTTGAGCCTGTACAGTGCAAGAACGTATTTTGATTCCTTCAGATGCCGACTGTCAGGGGATACCTCTTGGCACTGTGTTCATGTCATCACACTTCTGTCAAGTACTGTTGCTTTTACTAGGCATTCTGTCTGGTTTGTATTATTTCTTTTTTGCTGGTGTGGGTGGGTGGGGAAAGATGTTTTGATATTGCCTAGTTCTGAATAGTAAAATATTTAAAGCGCACTAAGCAGGAGAGTGCTGGTCTGCTTCATACAGGCTTGGGGGAGTGCTGGGGGAAGTCAGGGGGCAGTGACCACTGTTAGGATGCTGGCCTTTTGATCTGGCTCAACAAAGTAGCATGTGGTATTCATGCAAGACCTGATCAGCCAAGAGTATCAGTAGCTTGCAGGGATTAGGGCTGCCAGCTGCTCACCACATGTGAATCCTCTCAACCCTATGAGGTGATCTTCCTAGCCTCCAAGCCAGGCATAGGCAAACTCGGACCTCCAGATGTTTTGAGACTACAATTCCCATCATCCCTGACCACAGTTGTAGTCCCAAAACATCTGGAGGACCAAGTTTGCCTATGCCTGCTCCAAGCTCTCAGGACTGTCCCCAGGCCATGCCCCTTATCGCCCCTGCTTCATGCCATCTCCAAGTGTCTTTGCCTGCCTGGGATGTGTCCCTGAACTCTGATCATGCCTCCTGGTTGCCTGGATGGAAGGTAAGGGGCACATGAGTTTGTGCAGAAACTTGCCTATTCTGCAAAGGAAAAGCAGACGTCAGCTGCTCCACCCATCTTTGCCTCTGGCAAAAAGACATATGGCCCCCAGAATGTTGCCCAGTAAGGAATGTGGGCCTTGGGCTGAAAAGGGCTCCCCACTCCTGGATGTGATCTCAGTTGTATGAGTATTTGTGGTTCTACCTTTACTGCAGTTTAAATCCAACTGTTAAAAGTGAGCAGCAGCTTGGGTAGGCAGAAAACTGGGGTGGCAGTGAAAGAAACCAACCCCTTCACCATTCTGCCTGAGGAATGAACTGCAGTCACTGGTCAAAGTGCAAACTTGCCCCCTTTCTATGAGTGGGCTGTCACAGAGTTCTGCCACCTTGGGCCCTTAAGTAGCCTGGGGTTCCAGGCGGCACATATTGCCAAATTTGGCTCCACTGTAGGAAGTTGAACAAAGCATGTACAGTTCAGTCCCTCTTACGACACACCACAGTTTCTGCATTCCTGCTTACCACCTATCAAAATAGGTGTGGCAGGGGCTCCTCTACCTATTGTGCATCCCACCTGTAATATTTTATCCGTTTTCTGAAATATAACTAATGCACCTCCTACATTAGTTTTCTTCTAGGGGTTGGGGTAGTGGAGAAAACCAGTTTTGAGGCACTGACAGAAACAAGGGGGAAAGATGGGAGTGTCTCAATGAATTCAGTGTTTTAAAGAAGCAAATTGCGTTGGTTGGGATGGGAGGAAGGGATTCGAGTGGCAAAAACTGCCTAACCACATTCTGGGAAGGACAGCAGCTGATAACGTGAAACAGCTGAGCAAGGTGCTTTGGAGGCTCAGTTTGGCCTTTGCAGCAGAGCATGCCCTTTGTCACGGGGCTGTTTTCTGACCAAGGGGAAGCCCCTGGACATGATGCAAATGCCATCTTCTTCTGTCTATATGAAGTGTTGAACTCAGACCTGTTAAAAAGCAGGATGGAGTTTTCATCAAATAGATCATTGGTCAGCAATGCTACTTAAATGAAGTATTTGAACTGAACATGTGCAAGCGTGCCCAAACCTTATTGCTGGTGGGGAGGTAAGAGCAAAGGGCCACCTTTGTGCTGAATGGGCCCCTCCCTGCCCTTCTAACTGGCCCTTCGTACTTTTCTCAGCCCATGCTCCCTGCCCTCCTCAAATGCTTCTGCCTGGCTAGAGTGTGTCCGTAGCTCTTGGTTGCTTGGATGGAGAATGCAGAGGGGTGCATGTGCAGTGTGCATGCAGGAGAAGAAATCTAGCTTTTGCATGACTTCATTGTATGACGGCAAGAGCCACAACTGTTGCTGCACCCACTTCTGGCATGCTGAAACGAGGTTTGTCACCCCTGTAATAGGACCACAGAGGAGTACAAAATTTTTTTCCAAGGTCATTCATATGGGAATATTGACACCACAATCCCATTAGAAATAGGAAAACACATCCTTCACTTCCTCCTCTGTGCTGTCATCGCCAGCCTCCTGGTGGACCTGGCAGTGTCCTTCCTTATTTTTGGCCTGTAAAGTGAAGCATTATCACATGCAATGGGACCTCAGGAGATACACAGGAAAGACACCTGGCAGCTGTGCCTGTTCCTCCTAGCCAAGATCAGAATGCTGAGTTTACTGCTTGGCATCTTGTCTGCTAAGCATATTTAAATAGGATGGAAACTGGATGCATATGGCCTCTAGCCATTGGTTGAGCTGTTCATAAACATTTAAGCGGTGAAGGTGAAACTGCTAGTAATAATAAGCTTGGGATACAGTGCAGCCTGCTAAACTGTGAACAGAGCACTGGTTGCCTTTTCTCTTGCCCCTCCTCTTTCTATTGAAGCCTGTGCATCATGCTTCAATGTGCATCATGCTTGAGTTGCTATGGAGTCACTGTTTGCCCTGGGGGAGTTTCAAAAGCCCCATCAAACTCCCCTCAACTTTCTGATTGCAAATGCATTTCTTTGTGGAATGGTGAAAGCTGAACAAATAGATGCAAATTTTAATTACAACAATCACCAGTCTGGTTTAAAAAAAAAAAAAAGGAACGTACATAATCTGTAGCACAGCAGCTTTGTGAAAAAATATATCCAACATTAAATATCAAAAGTATGTTAAGTTCACAGTGGGGAAACAGAATAAAAAACATCCATAAATTAAACAGCAGAGAGGTTAAAAACACTGGTTTATATCTGTAGCGGAAGTTGGGCCTCTGTGATGCTCAGAGCTCAGGTGCAAATCTAAAAATAGGAGAGGGGCAGACAAGGAGTCATGACTTCTCATTCATGGTGGAGGGCTGTTCTTTGAAGGCTGGTTCACAAACCTGTTTTGATGTGATAACGAAAGTAACTGGGCTCCTCTGCATGATTCGTTTTGGACATGTGTCTGACACAAGATGGTTCCTTGTTGCCATCTCCTGGAAAACTTCAGGTATGCGTTGTACCAAGTGCTGGTAAATACAAGGCTGGTTGCCACACCAAGCAGGTAGGTAAGGCGCTAGTCCAGATTCTGTGGGAGTGTCTCAGTCAATCCACAGTCACCCTGCTACAAGGGAAGTCTTCCTTGGAAGGTGCAAACAGTTGCTGGAGGATCCCCTCACGGCAAGTGTCTTTGTTTTTGCCCCAAAGTGCCCCACCTCCTGTTAACTGAGGGTTTGGGATCCATGGGGTGGAGCTGGAGGCAGTGCTACGATTCTCAGTCTGCTTCCTCGGCTGTAGCCCTCACCTCAGGAATCAATGATGCTTCTCTCTTGCTTATTCCCCTTAAGAGGCCTCAGAGCAGGGTGGACAAGAAAATGCTGTTTTTGAGGCACAGGCTGTGCGGATCCTGCCTCATGCTCAAGGGCGAAAATGTTCCACTCGCCTCGAAGGCTGAATCTTTTGGGAGAGAGGTGGTGTTCTACTTGGCTTGGCTTACTTGCCACAGCCACCTGTTTAAGCTCCCTCTTGCAGGCAACCTTCGTCAGGTCACGCTTGGTTCTCATTGTGCCATGTGTGCTGAATGGTGCTGGGCTCCCTAACAGACTGCTAGGGAGGGTAGCGAAGGGCCTCATGGAGGGAAGCTGGACTAGCAGAATTCAGCCCTTGCCAAGCCCCATCAACACACGCACATGGAACCGCTGCTTGCCCAGCAAACCTGCTTACGTCCCTTCCAGCTCTACAGTTCTATGATTCCGTGTGCATGCTTGACCCGACTCCCCTCTGCAACAGTGGATGGGCCTAGCCAGCTGCTTCCCTCTCACAGTCACGGTGGGAATTGTATGGAACGCATCCAGTGGAAGAGGCCTGGCATTGTGTGCTGCCCAGCCAAGGCTCACGGAGGGGGCTAGATTTCCTCCTCCTTTTGGACGTGTTGTGATTGCAGCAGCTAACACACCGAGGAGAGGAGGTGGGGTGGGAATGTTCATCTGAATCTGGTGGAGGAAAGCTCTTAATTAATAGGAGTGCTGGGATCCTCCCACTAGTGATGGACTTGGAACCCCTCCCCTGCAGCAGGATTTCCCTTTCCTCTTCTGGGGACCTAGCCTTGGTCACAAGCCTTCAGCTGTGTGTGTGTGTGTGTGTGTCTCAGTGGCCCTTCCAAAGGGTCGGGAGGTAGGGTAGGGTGTGTGGCAGATTTCTCAGAGACGGCTATGTGTCGGGCCAGCCCATTATGGAATCAGTTCTCTTTTGCACAGGTAGCATTTCTAAAATATTTACAGCAGAAGTATGAATTATGTACTTCTCAGCAGCAGCAGCAGCAGCTGCGGTGCTCCCTCCCTTCAACAGTCTATAGGAATTCACACCTCCCCTTATTAAGCTGGGCTTTGGTGCTTGGAGCAGATAGTGTTTGCTAAAATATTTCTCACTCCTGTTGATGGCAATTGGACTGAAAACGCTAATGATTTTGGGCCGCAGTTGGCCATATCCACGCAGGTGCTCATCTTGTCTCGGGCGCAGGGTGCAGAAAGAGGAGCCAGCGCACAGCGAAAGGATGAGCTGGTCTTTCCTGTGGGGGTGGGGAGTTCAGTAGGAGGGAGTCTGATGCTTCCCTGCTCTGACCATGGCTACCAGAGGAGTGGGCGCTGCGTGGCTAGCCTTGTGCCAGTCCCCAACAGATATTAGAAGCCAATGCTGGGCAGCTGCCCTTTGCTGGATGGCTGTCCTCATCTGAGCAGCATCCCTCCCTCCTCTTGCTCTGGAGCGCAGAGCTGGAGCACGGCTCCCCCACCTTTTCTGAGAGCTAAAGCTGCAGGCCATACTTTCCCCTTGCGCTCCACAGGGATGGGAGTTGGAGAGGTTAGTTGTAGAGCCCATGCTTTGTTACAGACGTTTCCCCAGGTCCACTCCCTGGCATTTCCAGATAGGACTGGGAATGGCCACTGCCCCCACCCACAAAAAAATTCAGGAGTTCCCTCAAATCAGTGTGGACAATTCTGAGCTAGATGAAACTTTGATCTGACAGGTTCCCATGTTCCTCAACCTGACCACTGTCTGCTCCCTCTTCCTTCAGGATAAGGATTTGCCACCCCTTGCCCAGCGCTTCTGCCTGCCCACGCAGCAGCACCTGCCAATCGCATCCTCATTTTGTTCAGTTGGGGTGCAGAGAGTGACTCCTGCCCTTGTATGACCCCCAACTAAAGAATGGGGGCTCCTGTAGGGTTGCCACCCATCTCCAGAAAAATGGGATCATCCATTTACTTTTTGGAGAAAAGTGTCGCCTGTCCTTTAGCACATAGAATTGTAGATTTGGAAGGGACCCTGAGGATCATCTAGTCCAACCCCTGCAGTGCAGCAGTGTGTAGTTTGGACTTCAAACACGATGACTTTTTCATAGATTCGAGCTCATCCTCAAAACAGAGGGTGGGTCTGGTGGGAGGAGAGAGACCCTGAGCTTGTGCTGGTGGTGGCAGAGGGCTGGTCCATGAGGAGGAGAGCCCAGAGTGAGTCATCATGGGCGGGGGGGGGGGGAGCTTGAGAGAGGGTTTTTCTCAGAAGGCAAAAGAGGTCTGGTCCAGTGCGGAAGAGTGCAGAAAGGACGGAGGGGGCAGACTTGGAAAGGGGGCGTTGCACAGCCCTGGTGGAGACTGGGGGAAAGAGGGTTTTTGCATGGGCAGAGGCGGAAAGCTCAGAGACGGAGACTCACAAGTCAGAAACTGAGAGCCCCCCCCCCCCCCGTTTTTCCACTGAATAAAACTCTAACCCCCATGTGCCATTCTAATGGATTGCTTTTAAGTCATTTCTGCATCAGGTAATTTTAACCCCCAATTACCTGCGCCCCCCACCTGTCCCGTATTTTCCTCAACCTGTCCTTTATTTTGCCTGACTAAAAGTGGCAACTCTAGGCTCCTCAGGCCCTCCTCCTGCTTTTGTGGAGTTTCTGGCTCGCATTAGCCCCAGCCAGTATGACCAGGATCCAGGGTGGTGGGACCTGGAGTCAAGGGGGACATGAAGAGCCCCAAGATCTTTACCCTGCCTTAACTGATTCCCTGTCCAGCAAGCAAGATGCCTCACGCTCAGTTTGTCGCTGCTATTTTCTTTGTTTTGGCTGATTGTTGTACATACATCTGCTTTTATTGCTCTTTTTCTTTTTAAACTGTTCTCATTCTTAGCCAATAAACCCCAAGCAAGGAAATACAAGGACAAGAGTGTGACTAGGACAAATTGAAAATGAACAAAACCTGCAAGTTTCCCACCTTGGGAGATGAAAGGGGATTTTCAAAGCAAGGGCCTTGTGACACCAAGGAAAGAGAATGCTCTTGGTTGGGGGCTCTTACTTTGTGCAACAAAAACAGGATCTGTCTCTGGAAGGAGGGGGAACAGGGAGGCCCCATGTTCACTTCCAGTTATTCTAATACTGTCTTGGGTAGCTTGTTCACAAGGCACTATAGGCCACTGCATTGCGGTTCGTCCTTGGCAATCAGCTGCAGTTCACTGGAGTATTAGTTCTGGTAATGCCTCAGCAAGTAGGGAGGGATACCCTGTGTTCTAGCAAAGGGAAGGCTCTGCTTATCACTGGATTCTGGAGATGTGTGTGGTATTAGTCTGAACAAGCACAGAAGTGCTTACTCCCAGTCTTCATCCAACCCTGTTCTGTCTCCATGCCACTGCTTGACTAATGACCAATGCAAGGTTTATGCTGAGTTCCTAGCCCTGGATTTTGCTCAGCTTCTCCCTGTAAGTAGACAAACAGTGCAGGCATCAGGTGCTTCTGGTCAGGCAGACAGCAGGCCTTCGGCTAACCATTCACCGAATACATGTCGCCCCAGCACAGAAGGCCCAGTGGAGCAACGGGGAATCTGACTCTCTTGCCTGTTAGTTATGCTGCAAGGAGGGACCAGATGAAGCCACACCTGAGAAGCGCCATGGGGAGTGAGTCGTTGCAGTCTTGAGTTCATGGGCACACAGCCGCCACCTCCTTGGCATTCAGATCAGTCGCTCCAGTGGTGGCAGCTTGATGACGTTCCACATTTCCACTCGAGCCCCATCCTTCTCCTGCCGGCTGGGGCTGTAGGTTCCTTGGGTGGCCCTCCTCTTCTTCATGGCAACCATGGAGAGGCCGAAGAGGGTGATAAGCACTGCGCCCCCAGCTGCTCCCACGGTGCCTACCAGCGTGGAGCTGCTGACTTGGGCCCAAGCTGGTCGCTGTGGTGGAACAAGATGCAGTGGCATTTCAGACAAGGTGAAACCCTGCAATGGCTGGGCAGGTTCTGAACATCTCTTGGTAATCTACAGGTGAGCATCCCTGAGCCAGGAAGCCAACCAAGCAGCTCTACAGTTACCACTGTAACTGGTGGTAGCAGCATGGGAGCCAGAGGGCTATTAATGAGTCTCAATCTCAAGTGGGTGGGCAAGAAGGGAGAGAGAGAGAGAGAGGACCTGCTCCCCACATGTCCGTATGCAGGCTCTGTTGCTGCATTCCCACTGCACCTGAATCCTTAAGGGGCCACAATCCCTTCTCCATCCTACGGCCTCCCACACCATTTGGCAAGAAGAACTGAATAAGCACACACAAACATTCACCATCTCCATCACTAGCACCACCAACAAATGGTACCTGTGGGAATGTCAAGAGAGTCCACCCCCAAAGGGGGCTGTTTTATAAAACGAGTTGGTTTGTGCAAATGTTCTCAGTGGCTTCTGAGAAGTCTCTCCACCCCTTGGAGCCATGTCTGACAGGGAGGCAGGATCGGAGGTGCTGATTCTGTTGAAGGTTGGCTGGTGTTGGTGCTGGTCTTGGGAAAGCGCCCCCCCCCCCTCGGCATAATCGGGCAGAGGCAGCCTGCAGTTCTGCCTGTGAGAACAGCATTTTGCAAGGGAGGCCTTTGGGCAGGCTCCTCCTTGTGGCGAGGGATGGACGGGGAAGGGGGCAAGGGTGATGCCTAACTGCTGCCTCTGGGAAAGAGCCACAGAGAGTGGGTTGGGGAGCCTCGGGCATTGCCAGGTGCACCTGCGGCCCAGCCACTCACGCGCTTGCAACTCCACTGCGCTTAAGGAGCTTGGTGAGGTGGGCGAGCAGGTACACAGCCCGGGACAAGCCCAGCACCTCAGTGCCAGCCTTGCCAAGGCAGCCCTTTGCCTCGCTAGAGCAGGGCCTATATTAAGCGCTCCTCCGGCGGCACCTTGAGCACACTGTCCATCTCCAGGCGAGCTCCTGCCACCTCCTGCTGGCTTGGGCTGTAGGTCCCCTCAGACTGGCGCCTCTTCCGGGCCGTGAGGATCATAAGCACGAAGATAATAATGAGTAGCAGCAAGCAACCACAGGCTACTGGCACCGCTACTTCAATTAATGGGAATGGGAAGAGAGCACCTGGAGTCCCCCTCTGCAAGAGAAATTAATGGAAAAAGAATGAGCCTTCGGCGGACAGTGGGGGAGTCGCTTGGCAGCTGTGTGGCACTTGAGAGGGAAAGGAAGGGGTGCATGCTGTCCCCCAGGTCAGTGTTAAAAGTAGGCCAAGGCTCAGGAACAAAATGTCAGTAGTCAGGGATATGGAGAAAGGGGCTGGATTTCTGGCTGCAGAAAGCAGGCACTAGAACACCCTCTAGGAGGGAGGCATAGCCAGGATCCAATTGGCTGCCAATTCAAAAATGCTAGCAGCTTGCAGCTCTGACCTATCACAAGTGTGGCTAGAAAGGACATGCAGCCCCAAACATCAACCATGCACAGGCGCAGGTGTGGGGAGTATGGTAGCCTCTGCCCCCGAGAGGCAAGGCTGCTCCTTTGGGACAATTTGTCATATGGGAACACTTCCCTGTTCCTGTTACGAGCGTTGAGCAGGGTGGTTAGTAGGAAGCACCAATTGCCTGTGCAAGGTTTTCTCCAGATCAGCAGCAAGAAATCTAATCTCACAACATGCACACCTTATCAATGTCTGGTCCCCTTCCAGGGTGGCAGTCCGGCTAATGCATCCTCAGCCAGGGAACTTGCATGCAGATGCTGTCCATGGCAGCATAGGAAAAGCAGCCACCTACAGCTCAGAGCTTACTCACAGAACTGTTTCGGGGACACAAGATTAGCGTAAGCCTTACTAAAAACAGCAGTGTGTCAGCTCAGCAGCTAAGACGCTTGCTGGCCAAGCCACCGCTACCTTCCCAGAGAGAAACCGGGAGGGAGATTTGTAAGCAGGTAATTGGGTGGATTCTGAGCTCCTAAGCCTTGCAATTGGATATATCAGATGTGTTGTGCAATTGGAATAGGGTTTGGCTATATTAGAGGGCAGTTTAAGCAAGCAGCTTCTCCACCCTGGCGTGGGGCCAGCAGATTGCAGCTCAAAACCTTTTATCTGCTGCACTTAACAAGGTGGAGCATGTTCTGTGTCAGATTTCATAAGGCTCTGTCCCACCAGACAGCATCACAATGGGGCAAAGGGGCCAGGCTGCAGAGGGTTCAGAGCCAGACACACAGGTTAGTTGTGGTCTAGAAATGAAAGAGAAGAGGCAGCAGAGCAAGCATCAGCATGCAGGAAGCCCACGGGAAGGGACCAGCGCCAAGACCCCTGGAGGCAGTGGGGCTGCTGCCTCAGACTCAGGCATGCAAAGGCTTCTAAACAAAGGGGTTGTTTAGAAGCATCAGCCGGAGGAGGCACAGCTGCAACAGCAACAGCAGAGAGCCTGTCTCCCCTGCAGACATGCAATGGCATTAAGGGCAGGTTCATGCAGTCAAGGTTAGTATGTTACCGGTCCCCAGTCACCCACATGCAACCACATTCCATGCAAGGAGGAGCATGCAGGGCAGGCGAAGAGAAGCCCACCCAACACAGACTTATTCCCCTGTCTGCTGAGCAAAGCATCAAGTACCTCTCTCCCACCACAAGCAAACAGCAGGCTCGGTTAGGGTATTCTTGGCCTTATTTTAAAATTCATATAGATTTCCTGGCCCTCAACACATACAGGCACAGACCCCTCTCCCCAGGGCACTTGGCAGACACTGTGCTTCTCTGTCCCTCTTCACCTCCTGGGGACCCTGTTCCCTCACACTTCATCACTGACCTATGCCCCCCCCCCAATAATACTTAAAACTTTATGAATTTCACAACCATCCAAAAATTATGCTAATAGGAGTTATTTGATTGCATTTTCATAGAACCATAGAGTTGGAGGGTCCTCAGGGTCATCTAGTCCAACCCCCTGCAAAGCAGGAATCTCGGCTAAATAATAGAAGACAGTTGACTATCGAACCTCTGCTTCAAACCTCCAAGGACAGAGAGAGAGCAGTTTGGCCCGATGTTTAAAATAAGATCTGAGTGCAAATGCTGAATTCTCCTTGTGCAAGAGTTGTGGGGAGGAGACCCAGCGCCCCCCACCCTGCCTCTGAATCCGACCAGGATTTTTAAACAGTTCCTTTCCCTCTTGGCCAAACTGCCTTAGCTTTAAGAGACAAAAGCCTGACCCACCACTATGCACAGGAAGCATTGGCTTACGTCAATGTCGCATCGCTCCCCAGTGTAGCTGGCACTGCACACACATCGATACCGGTTTACGGAATCCTGGCAGGTCCCCCCATTCTGGCAGGGATTGGGGTCGCAGTCATTGATGTTGATCTGGCATCTGCAAAAGGAATTGGCAAGAGTCAGCCTCGGCCCAAAAGAAATGATGGCGTTGCAAGAGGCACCTGGAGGGGAGGGGAGGGGTTGGTTTGGGGCTCTGCCTCTTCAGTGGGTGAACTTAGCAAGCTGGGGAGGCTTTCCTCCCGGTGAGAGCTAACTGTACTGCAAGGGCCGGCCCTGTGGAAGACGCAGCTGCCTTGGTGGGCTTTGCACTCTCTTCTTGAAAGGCACCAAAAGCTGGAAAAGTCAGTTTCCCACTTCCTGCTTGCTTCCATCTGTGGGCTCCAGCCCTCCCACAGGTCCAGCTGGCTTACTGGTCAACTGCATCTTAGGGTGGTTTGCTCTTCTTGGTGCAATAAGGACAGGCCAACTGTGTGCTTTGTATGAGTCTCTCATGGCAATAGTCTCTACACACAACAAAGAGACCCAAATATATCCAAATAGTATCTATACTGCACTCATACAGATTTATAACCACATCCTTAGTCTTGTGGAGACTTTCAGGCAGCTTGCATTTTATATAGAAGCACAGTTTGGTACCCAAAAGCAAATTTTCTATAAAGGAAGAATGAGTAAGTGTGAATTGCACCTATTTCTCAATGATCTTTGGTGAACCAGAGCATTGATTGAAAGTGAGATCTGATAAAGATCTTTCCTCTAAGGCAGTGATTTTCAACCAGTGTGTCGTGGCCCCCTGGGGTGCCTTGAAGGATGGTCAGGGGTGCCGTGGGCAGCACTGGCCTGTGTCCCTCTTTCCTTCCTTCCTTCCTTCCCTCCCTCCTGTGATGCCCTCTTGCCTCTCTGCCTCCCCAAGGCTTGCGCAGCTGTTTGTTGCAGCAGCCCTGGCTATAAGCTCCCCAGGCGAATGGTGCACCTTTGGCTGGCCAGGGGTGCTTCCCAGCCCCTGTGGGGCAGTGTGAGGAGGCATCTCTTTGGGGCAGGGGGGGCAGCTCAGAGACCAGAGACAGCAGCTGCCCAGAGGATTCCCTGGGAGAGGGGAGAGGAGAGGAGGCTGAGGGAACACTGCACAAGGGAGGGTGTTCGAAAAAGGGTGAGGGGCTGCCAGCTCTGCAGGCAAGGGGGGACGTAAGTAGGCCCCTGGGCCCCACAAAGAATGGAGTTGGTCAAGGGAGCCGTGGACTCAGAAAGGTTGAAAACCTCTGCTCTAAGGAATCAGAAGCTATAGCTTATTTGCAGGAACAAGAGGGACTCTTCACTGAAATGAGGTTGTTGGGAATTTCTGGTTTCCATTGCCATTTGATATTCTGTATGCAGTTGCAAACTCAGTATTATACCGATACTATTTGGATATATAGAGGATTGTTTTCAAAGGGTAATACAATGAGAACGCATTCTGTGAAAACAGCCAAGCTGCTCTTTTGAACAAACCAGTTGCTGGGCTCCTTGGGCCACTGGCCTGGCCTGCAATGGGGAACTCTGGTCCTACCTTCTGCCTGTGTAGCCTGGCTTGCAGGTGCAGTTGGCTCCCCAGACGCCACTCATGCACTTGCCGCCATTCAGGCAGGTGAAGTTCTTCCCGCATTGCTCAGGTGGGAACGGCCACCTGGTTGGAAGAAGAAGAAGAGGATTGTAAGAATCCTTATTATTTAGACAGCATACATTTTCTAGGTTTGTTTAAAAGGGGGAGGGACTTTTAACAAAATAAAAACAAACACTGGCAGCGCCGGCAGATCTGCACTCGTAATAGATACAAGAAATAGATACCCTTTGGCCACGCCCACTTTGACCCTGGGGCTGTGCTTGGCTGCCCCTGCCCTGATGCCCAGGAAGGCTTGGGACGAGACTACCCAAGAGGCCGCCACGTCCCATCTGCATCTGACCCCGCAAGGTCCTTCCAGAGGCCAAATGCAGTGAGGCAGGCAAGCCTTCTCTTCCCAGGGAAGCTCAGTTTCTGGCACCAGCTTCACAGCCCTTTCAGTGCCAGGCAGCGGCCTCTTGGTCCACCCAGGCTTCTTGAGAGACTTGGGCAATCCAGACCTCTGCTTTGCATTTCGGAGGTGCAGCAAGTCCTGTTTCATTGCAACTCAAAAGGCTTCAGCTCAGTGATTGAGCACCTGCTTTGCATGCTGAAGGTCTCGGGTTCAACCCCCACTGTGACCTCCAGGTAGGGGTGGGAGAGACTCTTGCCTGGAGCCCTAGAGAGACTCCACCAGTCAGGCTAAACTACAGGTGAAACTTGAAAAATTAGAATATCGCGGAAAAGTTCCTTTCTTTCAGTAATTCAACTTGAAAGGTGAAACTAGTATATGAGATAGACTCGTGACATGTCAAGCGAGATATGTCAAGCCTTGATTTGTTACAATTGTGATGATCATGGCCTACAGCTGATGAAAACCCCAAATTGACCATCTCAGAAAATTAGAATATTCAAGGAAATCAGCAAAACAAGGATTGCAAATGGAGCAAGATTGGACCTCTGAGAAGTAGAAGCAGATCTTGCTTTGCATGTCACGAGTCGATCTCATATATGAGTTTCACCTTTTAAGTTGAATTACTGAAAGAAATGGAACTTTTCCACGATATAAGCCTGCTTCCTAAACATGCCAGGTCTCTCTCGTCTTTTAATGGTTTCTTGTTTTGATTTAAGGTTTTCTTTTACTTGTTTATCACGAGCTGCTTAGGGAACATTTTGCTGTGGAGCAGCATGCAAAAGGCATCAGTAAAGAAACAGTGTATTGGTTATTAACTGTAGTACTGTAATCTCCCTTCTGTCTCAATTGCAGCAGCCACTACGGAAAAATTTATCTTAATGCTCTAGATTGAAGTGTATGCCCTGTGGACATGAGCTTAATCTGCAGCATAGAAGATTTCCCAAAAGTCTGTTTTGATGCCATGTGGATGACTGCATGCAAAACTCAACATCTGCACATTTGCCCTGGAAGACAACCATTTGCTTGGTAATTGTGTTTAAATATAAATAAAAACACAGAAACAAACGAACAGCTTGCTTCAGGCTAATCTTCCCAGCACCATCCCTGGAAGCTCTGCTAACACCAGCAGCATCCTTAGGGGGCAGGGGTCGGGGGACACCTACTCGCAGTGAGGGCCTGTGTACTGTGGGGGACACTTGCAGGAGTAGCTGTAGACCCCATCCACACAGGTCCCACCATTCTGGCACTGGTGCCTAATGCAGTCGTCCACGTTAATGTGGCAGCGCTTCCCAATGTAGCCCTTCTCGCAGTTGCACTGGAAGTCAGCCACTTCATCTATGCAGGTGCCGTGGAGGCAGGGGCTGGACTTGCAGTCGTCAATGTTGGCCTCGCACAGGGGCCCCTCCCACCCAGGACTGCAGGCGCAGCTGAAGGCGTTGAAGAGGTCCTGGCAGGTGCCCTGGTGGAGGCATGGGCTGGAGGCACAGACGTCTTGCCCCTGGCAGCCAAGAAGGGTTGCCCGGCTGTTTGTTTGCAGGAACTGTTCTGGCTGTGGGTACGCGGTAGGGGCAGCCAGTGGCAGGAGCACTCCACCCACATCTGCGTGCCCAAGGCAGCCGGTGAAGTTTTCAGCCAGGACAATGAGTGCGTTGCTCTTCAGGAAGTCCAGGTTCCCAGCATTGCCTTGGAGGGTTGTGTTGACGGACCCATCCAGACAAAGGTGCCATCTTGACGAGAGAGCCAAGGGATCTTCCATGGACAGCGTAAGCGTGTGCCAGGCGCCATCCGAGACTGGCACCTGGCTGAGGAGGTTTGCCCCCTCGACGCCGTTCCCACTCCTGATCTCTACCAGCAGAGAGGAGTTCTGGATGGCCACCAGGAGGGAATCCACAGCCACCACGGCCCACAGCAAGATGCCGTCTTGGTCCCTTGTTCTGAAGTCCAGGCGGAGGCTATGGAGGGCTCTGGTGATGGACGCGTTGGCTGTGAATTCAGCTGCGTCGCGCTCATGAAACGTGGCCGTGGCCAGACCTGCAAGGAGGAGAAGGTGAACATGGCAGTCAGAGGAGTCAGGTCTGGGGGGTGGGAGCCTCCAATGAAAATAACAGGGATCCCCACCTGAAGGTATCTTCCAAGGGAGAGCGGCACAGACTATCCCTGTGTACTGAGGAGCGTCACCGTCTATATCTCTCTTGGTGCCAATCCTAGCCACAACTTTCACGACACATGCATGAGGCCACTGAAGAAGGATACGTTGCCCCCTAAAGCAAACTTCCATGGCAAATTTGTGGTATGTTGAAGGCAGTGCGCCTCTAAACACCCGCTGCTAAGAATCACAAGTGAGAAGGGCTGTGTTGTGCCCATCTCCTGCTTGCGGACTTCCTGCTGGGGCAAGGGGTCCACCACTGAGAACAGGAAGCTGGACTAGAGGGGCCTTTGCTCTGATCCAGCAGGCTCTTATGTTCTCGCCCACAGTGAGCATTTTAAAGGATGAAGGGGCATGGGTGGAACAGGGATATTTACCTGCATTAGTCACTGTGAAGGGTCGGGTGGGGAGATTTTAGTCTACAGCTGATACGATCTGCAATTAGGGTTTTATTGTGATTTGCAGATTCGTTTTATGATTGGTTTTATCTCATGCAGTTTCAGATACACTTGTTCACTGCTTATATATTCTGTATTAAGTGGTTTATGCAGAATTCATTGAGGAGAAGGCAACGGATGGTTACCAGCCACGATGGCTGGGCTCTACCTTTGCAGTTGGAGGCAATTATGCTTTTTAATTGTTGTTGGAAACCGCAGAAAAGGAGAGTGCTCTTGCACTCTTCCTGCTGTCCTACAGACCTCTGGTTGGCCACTGTGAAAATAGGATGCTGGACTAAATGGGCCTGGGGCATGATCCAGCATGCTACTCTTATCTTCTTATAAATTCTTTAAATGAATGATAGAAAAGAACTCTTGCGCTTCTTGCTTCAGGTTCTCTTTGGCCCTTGCATGATGCTTACAGACATAGCCGGAAGGGACATCCACGCAGGTTGTGGCTTGAGGACACAGCTCACTCATGCACCAGACTCTCTCGTGGCAGCGCTTGCCTGTGAAGTTGGCTGGGCAGCTGCAGCTGAAGTCATTCCATGTGACGGTGCACTGGCCGCCATTGAGGCATGGCCCAGACTGAAAGACAAGAAAGGAGCCTGGTCAGAGGAGGAGAAGGAACAGGGTCCACTGTTCCTTTTGCTTTGGAGAGACATGCATTGCTGGGGGTCTGAGGGGCAGGGGGAAGGCTAGCAGATCTGGATGAGGAATGCCTGGGAGCTGTAGTTGCCATTGGATGAAAACGGTGGGATGCATGGCTAGCAACTGAATTTCCAACCCTAGCTAGAAGGTGTCGAGCTCAGTGGTAGTGCTAGGAGGTCCCAGGTTCTCTCCCTGGCATCACCAGGTAGGGTCTGAGTGCCTCCTGTCTGTAACCCTGCAGAGCCCCTGGCAGTCAGCATAGATCATAGTGAGCTACATGGAGAAATGGCAGTTTCTCATGCTTACGCTCAACTTTTCTGCCATTTTCACTTTCCCACCACTCATGTCTGCCTCTTTGTGCTTTTCTTTTCTGCTGCAAGCAAGACTCTGGTGGCAGCTTTGGTGGTGTGAGGGAGGGCACTGTGCTCAGGATACCGTCTCTAAGACTTTCTGCTCCCTCCCCATTTGTAACAACTGGAAAGCTGGGACTTGGCTTCTCGTTTGCACTGGGTACTTAAGGAGAGGTCTGAGGCCAAGTTATTATCGAGTGGGGAGGCAGGAATTGATCTAGTTAGGAAGAAGCTCTCTTTGTACTAATGAGCTGGATGCTTTTAAGCTCCATAAAGATGGAGCATTGTCCCTCTGTAACTTACTACAGAGCAAGAGAAGTGGTGGCGGGGGGGGGGGGGGGTTTCCCCTGCATCTGTGTGTCTCTGTGTAGGTGGTGCACTGGGTGCACTGGATCAAATTTCCCCCTGCCAAAAAAGCCTTCTTTCTAGACCTCTGTGTGTGCAAGAGGTGCCTTTAGCCCCAAGCCAATTCAAGACAGAAAGGTTTCAATGCATGCATGCAGTTGCCCTTGTGGCAGAAGATGCTCATCTGAGGGCAAAGCGAGGAAGTGAGAAGCTGGATGGGGACAAAGAGAGAGAGAGACCATGAGCACATGCTGAATAGAGGAGAGAGGCGAAGGACAGTCCATACTCCACCTTGCCAGGTCAATGCTGTTACTCCTGCCTGCCCAATGCCTGGTCCTTTGACAGCGTAAGGAGGAAGAACATAGGAAGGAAATGCTGGAAACATGTAAGCTTCTAGACCACCCTTCACCAGCCTGGTTTGCTGGGGTTTATGGGAATTGTAGTCCAAAACAGCTGGGGGAAACCAGGTTAGCAAAGGCTATTTAAGGTGATCCTATTAACCCCCTTGGCATTCACCTCCATGCCAAGCCAGTGCTAAGGCAAGAGCAACAGTGAAGTGGTGGTAACAGCCCTGGATGAGCTACTGCGCAGGCCTTTCCTCTGGCAAACAGGGACTCACTGCCACCCTCTTGCTTAAGTGTGTCATGGAAAAAGAGGTGGGGGAGATGCTTTGCATGCAGAAGGTCCCAGTGAACTTCTCAGCATCTCCAGGTAGGGCTTGGCATGCCCACCTGTCTGAAACCCTAGAAAGAGACTGCAAGTCTGTGTCCACAACACTGAGCTAAATAGACTTAGTGAACAGCAGCTTCCTCTGCTGTTCTTGCAGGAAGACCACAGACGGAGTACATGCTTTGCATCCAGAAGCTCCAGGTTCAATCTCCAGCATGTCCAAGTAAGGCTAAGAAGGACACCTATCTGAAACCCTGGAGACCTGCTGTCAGCCAGAATAGACAACACTAGTCTAGATGGTCTGGCTCAATATAAGGTCGCTTCCTTTGCTACTCTGTCGCTGGGGAGGAAACTGGCAGAGCAATTGTGCACAAATTCTTCTGGGCTCCGCTTTGCATGCACCCATTAGCCCATTTGCAATCTCTCGACAGCTCATGTATATGAGGTAGTTGGAACAGAAATGTTCAGAACTCACTTCCACAGTGGCCAACCAGATGCCTCTGGGAAGCCCACAAACAGGACCTCAGTACAACAGCAGCTCCCACAGTTGAGATTTGTCCCAGAAACTGGTACTGAGGCATAAGGCCTCTGACAGGAGAGGCAGGACACAGCCATCATGGCTACTAGCCAACGATTAGCCTTATTCTCCTGCATGAATTTGTCCCGTCCTCTTTTGAAGCCACCCAAGTTGGTGACCATCACAGCCTCTTGCAGTGGGAGCTTCACAGTTTAAGAAATAATTTCTTTTGTTGGTCCTGAATCTTCCAACATTTGGCTTCCTTGGACATCCATAAGAGTTTTGAGAGAGGAAAAATGCAACTCTATCTGCTTCTGCACATCACACATACTTTGTACACCTCTGTCATGTGTGTTCCTCACGGTTTCTTGCCTTCTCTCTAAACTATAAACAAAGACAAATGTCATAACTGTCTGGCAAAAGTAAACCCCATTTCACATGCCTCCTATGGAATTTGTTCCATGGGTCGCTTGGATGGCCCTAATATAGTTATCTTCTCAAGGTGTGATTCCCTGGCAGGATACCTCCAGTTGCCAGCTGCTGGAGGCGTATCCTGCTTGTGGGCTTCTGAGGGAATGCTGGTGGCCATTTGAGGAAACCATCACCGAGCTCGTTAGGCCTTTGGCCTCCATCTGCCCTTCAGTTCACAGAGGTACAAGTTGGCCTCTGCCAACCTGCTGTCACCTCCAGATGTTTTGAACTACAACTCCATGCTGGGTGGGGCTGATGCGAATTGTAGTCCAAAACATCTGGAGGGCACCAGGCTTGCGAAGGCTGCACTATAGTGCCATTCTCGGCACAGTCAAACAACTTCTGGCATTCTCCTTACCTTGCAGGTGTCATCAGAGGTGCATCCGAAACCAACGTTGGTGGTTTGCCCCACAAGCCTGTCTTGTGGGCCACTGTGGTTAGCAGCCAGATGAGGGGCAAACTGCATCTGCCAGTCATTGAGTCGAACATCCTGAAGGCAGCCTTTGAAAGGCCCTCCCCAGGTGACAGCACTGTCTTGGTCCGGGAGTCCACCCACATGAACCACAAAGCCAGGAGGGAGAGGAGTCACCACCAGGGGTCCCAGTTCCTCCTCTCTGCCTAAAAGGCTGGTGGAAACAAGACCATTGTGGAAGGAAAGCACCACAAAGTGCCAGGTGCCATCCGCCAGCTGCCCACTTGGCCCAATGGGAGAAGCAGGGGGTGCCTCCAGCTGGAGCTGCCCATCTTTCAGATACACGGTGAGGAAAACTTCACTTTGGTTGCTGATTTGGGTCACCAGAACACTGGGCCTCAGAGTTCGGATGAAAAACGAAATGTTAAAGTTTGCCCCGAGACTGCTACTAACTGCAAAGGCAGCAAAGCTTGAGGAGTTGTCTTGGCTGAAAGTTCCTGCAGGAGACTCTGAGGAAGAAAAAACAATGCATGGCAACTCTGAACTGAAGGGAGCATCAGAACAAAACCATTCTGAGACCACTAGGCTGGTCTCAACCCATTCATCAACCCTCTGGGACCTTTGGAAATGGCTGAGGTTCTGCAGAAGGACCACAGCAGAACCTAAGCACTGGCAATTGCAACCTTCAGGGCCATAATTTGCTGTGTGTGTAATTGCCTGCCCTTTGGCATTGGAGAAGAGCACCCAGCGGCACTTTGTTGTGGCTCTTTGTTGGGTCTACAGTGGGTGCCCAGGAGAATTGCCTCTATTGCCATAAGATCAAGCACATGAACGGTGAACTGCAACCTCTCCACCCCAGGCCTACATCACCTCCCCCAAACAGAGGATTGCTTCCAAGCCAACCCACCTCCCTCTCAGAGGGGCCGACAGGCACTCTCACTCATTACTCACCATAGGCGCATGTACGGCCTTCGTAAGGCCGAGCACAGTGACAGCGGAAGTCTGCCCAGAGGTCAATGCACTGGCCGCCATGTGAACAGGGCTGGGAGTGACACCACTCTGTCCTCTCGCAGCCCAGCTCAAACCCAGGGGCTTTCAGTCCGATCACCTCCTGTGGCAAGACAACCTTAGAATCAATCTGCAAGTCTTCCAAGCAACCAAGGAAACTCTTTGTTGGATTAGGCGTTAAGTCCTCTTCAACTCCTCCAATATAGATGTGCAAAAAGGAGGGCAGGAATGAAATGGGGGCTCCCTCTCCAATGGGGTTGCTGTGCAAACAGACACCCCCAGTGCAGGCTTCATGCCAGAGTTTGAGCACGAGAGAATCCTGCAGCAGGACTTCTGCCTTGTGCCAATGGCCATCGGCCACCTTCGGTGCCTCCAAAGTGAAAGACAACGGAGTGTCCTGCATCAAAAGTGACACTCGCAGGAGGCCACCAGAGAGCTCCAGGAGAAGGTGCTCTCCTGGCTGGCCTCGGTAGAAGAGGATGGCATCAGGGAGGGTGGTCCGGAACCGGAGAGCCACACTGGCTTGGTGCCCCTCTGGCGCCTCCCTGGCACTCTCGTCGTCTGCAGTCATGTTGATGAAGAGGTAGACACTGGCTGTGAAGGAGAAGGTGGTTGGCGTGGAACAGGTGGAGCCATAGAAGCCAGGGTGGCAGCGGCACAGGTGGCCGTGGGACTCAGACTGGTAGGTGGGGATACACAAGGCCTCGTTTTGGCAGCTGTGGTTCTGGCACCCAGTCAGCTCCACAGAGCAGTTCTTCCCACCCCAGGCAATGCCGTTTGGACCAAGGATGCAATGGCAGATGTAGTCAGCGATGCCATCTTCGCAGGCTCCTCCGTTTAGGCAGGGGTGGTCTTCGCACTCGTCAATGTCAGTGGCACACTCTACACCTGGCGTACACCGGAAGGAAGGAAGGAAGGAAGGAAGGAAGGAAGGAAGGAAGGAAGGAAGGAAGGAAGGCGTAAGTTGAAGTGGGAATTGTTTGCTGAGAGACACCACTCCCAACCCTGACACACAAGCCCACCACTGCAGCAAAGGAGCTAAAGCATCTGGCTGGGTTCACTACAGCGGGGTGAACAGAGGCTACGAATCAGGCCTGGCAGAAGGGAAGTGGTGTCCTTCTTTGCTAGTGGGCTGATAATGAGAGCAAACCCTTGATTAAGAAGGCCTATTACCCCTCCAACCCCCTAACCCAGCTTCCTACTAATCCACCAAGACAGCTGCACAGATAAACAAAGCCTGGATTATTCCACTTAATGGCATTATTACGCCTGGCCTGCAGGTTTGGGAGGAACCAGAGCACGAGAGGAATGTGGAATTTGGTCCTGCCTTTGCCCTGCAGGCAGGCATGGAAGCACCGCAGGAAGAGGGAGTGTACAAGCTAACCTTCGTGGATGCAACTATAGCCACCTTTGCAAAGATGGGTGCCTGAGGATTTCATGCTCCCACCTAAGAAGGGAGAGAAGGTAGTGCGGTTCAAAGCTGTTTTTATGTCAGTGTGAAGGGAGAGATTAATTTCCTCAATGCTGCTTGAGATTCAGGAACCAGCTATTACAGAAAGAGGGCCAGTGCATTCGTGTGTAAAGCCCTAAAGCTATGCAGGCCCCTAATGTCTGAGAGGCCACTTCATTCCTTGCAGACCTTCTCAGGTGTTAAGATCAGCAGAGAGAGCCCTCTTGGTAGTTCTGCTGCCCTGGGGAATTCAGAGGAAGTGGAGGCCTGGGACAGAGCCTTCTCTGTGGCAGCCTTTCAGCTGTGGAACTCCTTCCGCACAGAGGTGCACCTGGTACCTTCACTATACAGCTTCCTGTGAATGCTGAAATTGCATCTCTCTATCCTGGCTTTTTAGGACCCACCTTATTTTTGTGATTATAAGCTGCTTTAGGCTGTATGCTATATTGTGTTTTAATGTTATACCCCACCCTGGGGCCTTAGGGTGAAGGGCAGGTACTGGATTTTTCGCTCTATAAGACGCACCAGACCATAAGACAGACCTAGTTTTTGGAGGAGGGAAACAAGAAAAAAAATATTCTGAATCCCAGAAGCCAGAACAGCAAGAGGGATCTCTGCTTTCGCTGCACAGCGATCCCTCTTGCTGTTCTGGCTTCTGGGACAGCTGCGCATAAGACACACACACATTCCCCCTTACTTTTTAGGAGGGAGAAAGTGTGTCTTATAGAGCGAAAAATGCAGTAATTAACAACAACAACAACAGCAACAACGCTATCTAATGGCCTTGGCAAGTCCCTGCACTAGCAAATACATGTTTAGGCAGCTGCTATCTGGCTACCGGAAGCTGCACAGGCTCCTATTTTGCTGGTGGACCTGGGCATCAGGAACAGCTGTGCTTTGAAGTTATTATTTCATCGCACCTTTCCTCCAAGGAGCTCAAGGTGCTCTATGCAGTTATCCCCCCCCCCCCCATTTAATCCTCACAACCAGATGCTGAAGTACATTAGGTTAGTGAGGTACGTGAGTTAGTGACTGCCCAAGATCACCCAGGGAGCTTCATGACTGTGTGGGGATTCGAACCCTGAGTTCTTTAGCCCAGTCCCAAAACTCTACCCACACTGCAACCCTTGCTCTCTGCAACAGCAATGGTTTTGTTCTGGAGCAGGCTGGAGCAGGCCAGTGACCCATCTAGTCCAGCATCCTGTTCTCTCAGTGGTCAACCAGATGCCTGTGAGAAAACCGCAAGCAGCAATACTCAGTCTCCTGCGACTTCCAGCAACTGGGATTCAGAAGTATTGCTGCCTTTCAGCCGTGGACACAGAGAAGAGCCATTGTGGCCAGGAGCCATCGCTAGCCCTCTCCTCTTCCGTGATTTTTTCTATTCCTCTTTGAAGCCATCTAGGTTCATGGCCATCACTGCCTCCTGTGCGAGAGTGTTCCGTGGTTTTAACTACATGCTATACTTATTTTTAGGGATGCGGGTGGCGCTGTGGGTTAAACCACAGAGCCTAGGGCTTGCCAATCAGAAGGTCGGCGGTTCGAATCCCCGCAACGGGGTGAGCTCCCGCTGCTCAGTCCCTGCTCCTGCCAACCTAGCAGTTCGAAAGCACGTCAAAGTGCAAGTAGATAAATACCGTATTTTTCGCTCTATAACACGCACCTGACCATAACACGCACATATTTTTTAGAGGTGGAAAACAAGAAAAAAAATATTCTAAACGAAACAGTGGGTGTATGATTTTTGTGGTTCATGCTGTGGCCACAGACATGTGATCTGACGGTGAGTTTGGGGTAGCCCAATGCAAAAATCCTGAGGATCCATGTGGATCCATGCTTTGTAACCACATTTTTGCACCACTGCGGCCCCAGGCAACAGTGGGTACATGATTTTTTTGGTGCAAGCTGTAGCCATGGACGTGCTATGTGATCTGATGGTGAATTTGGGGTGACCCAGTGCAAAAATCCTGAGGATCCATGTGGAACTGTGCTTTGTAACCACGTTTTAAGTGGGGAGGGAAGGAAAAGCACTCAAGGGACAAGGAACACGTGTGGGGTGGGTGGAGAAGGATGCTCTCCTCTCCCGCTTTGCTCCTTTAAAGGAAGCAGGCTCTCTGTCCATCTCTCCTCCCCACTCAGCGGCTCTTCTCCTGCTTTGCTGTTTCAAAGCGAGCCACAGAGGAGGGAAGGAAGGGGAACCATGGATCCTCTGCTCACGACTGCAGCAGATTCCCCCGCCATCCGTAGGCATTCGCTCCATAACACGCACAGACATTTCCCCTTACTTTCTAGGAGGAAAAAAGTGAGTGTTATGGTGCAAAAAATACGGTAGGTACTGCTCCGGCGGGAAGGTAAAGGGCGTTTCCGTGGGCTGCTCTGGTTCGCCAGAAGCAGCTTAGTCATGCTGGCCACATGACCAGGAAGCTGTATGCCAGCTCCCTCGGCCAATAAAGCGAGATGAGCGCCACAACCCCAGAGTCGGCCACGACTGGACCTAATGGTCAGGGGTCCCTTTACCTTTTTATAATTCTTTTTATCTGTCCTGCATCTTCCAACCTCCAAAACTCCATGCAGTGCATTATACTTTGAAGCTCTGGCAATCAACTGATAAAAATTGCCAACAATAAGCTGATTGTCAGGGCTACAAAGCAGCTCCTACAGCTCACCGCAAGACCAGTAAGTCTTTGGTGCTTTCAGAAAGGCTTGCACAGTGTTTTGATGCCCCAGCAATCAACTAGCTGCCAGGACTCCAAAATGCCATGCTTGTGCCGGCACAATGTTGATTTCAAACCACATGAGTGTAAATGGGACAGCTGACATCACTATGACCATCTGGTTGCTGACCAGTGGGCAGCCTGCAAGAGGTGGGGGAGGAAAGGATCTAGCTGGAGCCTTATACACTGGCCTGACTAAAGAAGGGGCATGACTGCGGACGATTTATGCATTTTCTTACCAGCCAGGGGCTTGGGGAAAAGGAGGGGCTTGGCCAAGGCATGTGTGTTGGGGCAGGGGCAAGAATTGCCCCCTACCTCCACATGCTTGCCAGGACCAAGCTGCCTGCTGCTGGGTTTCCTCTGGAGCGCATGGGGCCACCTGCTAAATTAATCCTCCCGGTGAACTGGCAGCCCCCTGCTGGTGGCTAATTAAGTGTGGAGTCTTCATCCACTGGGAGGTTGGGCTGTTTTGATTCCAGCTTTGTTTGTGGATCAGAGCAGGTCTCTGCTGGGTGCCTCTGCAGTGCCTGCAGGGCTACCCTGTGCAGCCCCACAAAGCAAACAGGTGCTTTGGGAGAGGAGCTCTTCTCTAACACTGTCTTCCTTCAGGGACAGTGCAGTCAGCAGTGGCCCAGCAGAGCTCATTCCCATTGGCTCACTGGTTCTGTGCCAGGACTGGGCTCATCTGTATTCACCCTTGGCCAACTCTCTTGGGGGGTAAGGGTGGCAGCACATGGTTCAGGTGGGTGTATCCAAAAGTGTATGTAGTCACAACACACTCTTGAATACATGCATGCTCTTTTGCATGCATGCACACACATACACACATGCGCACATCAGCCAAGGAAGCCCCCTCCCCTTACAAAATTAATCTTCCGGTGACTGGGGAGGGGGGAATTTGCACCCTCATCAGTGCTCTGTGCTGTGCTGGGCAGAAGGGTCTGAGCTTCTCTGTCTACTCCTTGCCTCTTTAATCTTTTATTTTCCTGTCAACACAAGTGGGGTGGGGTGGGGTGCTTAGATGGGGTGGCTCAGGCCCCTGGACTAGGGTTGCCTCCATGGGGCAGACTGCTTCTCTGCCTTCTCAGCATTCATGCTCCTTGTGCAGCGGCCACAATCTCTCCCCGTCTCCACTTCACTTTCTTGCCAATCCTGAGTGTGCATTCCTGCGTACGAAGGGCCACTAACCATTTAGGTGACACACAGAAGCAGCAGGACTTGCACATACAGTCATAAAGGTAAAGGTAAAGGGACCCCTGACCATTAGGTCCAGTCGTGACCGACTCTGGGGTTGCGGCGCTCATCTCACTTTATTGGCCGAGGGAGCCAGCATACAGCTTCTGGGTCATGTGGCCAGCATGACTAAGCCGCTTCTGGAGAACCAGAGCAGCGCACGGAAACGCCGTTTACCTTCCCGCCAGAGCGGTACCTATTTATCTACTTGCACTTTGACATGCTTTCGAACTGCTAGGTTGGCAGGAGCTGGGACCGAGCAACAGGAGCTCACCCCATTGCGGAGATTTGAACCGCCGACCTTCTGATCGGCAAGCCCTAGGCTCTGTGGTTTAACCCACAGTGCCACCCGCGTCCCATACATACAGTCATACCTCGGGATAAATACGCTTAGGTTGAGCGCTTTCGAGTTGCGCTCCGCAGCGACCTGGAAGTAACAGAGCGTGTTACTTCCAGGTTTCACCGCTCATGCATGCGCAGATGGTCAAAATGACATCACGCGCATGCGCGGAAGCAGCAGAACGTGACCCATGCACACACAGACGCACTGTCACGTCTTGCGTCCCGTTCGCATCCTGAGGTACCACTGTGATGCCACACTGGGCCATTCCCATATTGCAGGTGGCTCTTCTGGTAAGAACAGGCTTTGTGAGGGGTAGCCAGGCACGATGGTGCAGCTCCTCTTCCTCTTAATGAGTCTGTGCAGGAAGACTTGCCAGTAGATTATGTTCTACGTTGTCAAAGGAATTAGCATTCTCAGACATGAGTGGGACAGCTGGGCAGGGCTCAGCCTCTAAAACAGTCTCCCCCTAAGCTGGTGCCTTCCAGATGTTTGAACTGCACCTCAAACCAGTCCTGGAGGGAGGGCATCGGTTGGGGGGGGGGCTGGCCTAAATTGTGTTGTGCACCACCCAATCTCCGATGGGTGAGAGGTTCCAGGGGTCCCAGGCACATACCCGGGGTCTAGCTTACTTGGAATGAGGGATGGCGGAGACTGTGGTGTCTTTGTGATATATGGTTTATTTACGTATCCATACAGTCTGAGCCTACTCTGGAAGGGCTCACAGCCTTAACACCCCAGAAGACCTCGCTTCTCCCAGTCAAGGGTTCTAGCTGAAATCAAGCATGGCTTCCGGCTGCTTCTAGCCCAGGGCTCAGCTCAAACACTCTCAGGATTTTGTCTTCTCATTAGCAGCCATCTGAGGGAGGGGGCCCACCCTTTGCACACACACCCCCAAGCTACTTCCTTTGTTATACTAATGATGGTGCTTAGATGGCAACTATGTCCATTATTTCACAAAGGAACTTGCCAGCCAGAGTGGCTGCGGAAACTCAGCCAAATGGGCGGGGTATAATTAATAAAATTGTTGTTGTTGTTGTTGTTGTTGTTGTTGTTGTTGTTGTTGTTGTTAGACTTTAACCCGGGTCAGCAAATGTTTTCAGCAGGGGGGCTGTTGCAGTGTCCCTCAGACCTTGTGGGGGGCTGGACTATATTGGGGGGGGGGGATGAATTCCTATGTCCCACAAATAACCCAAAGATGCATTTTAAATAAAAGCACACATTCTACTCATGTGAAAGCACCAGGCAGGCCCCACAAATAACCCAGAAATGCATTTTAAATGAAAGCACACATTCTACTCATGTAAAAACACGCAGATTGCCAGACTGTCCAAGGGCCGGATTGAGAAGGTGATTGGGCCGGATCCGGCCCCTGGGCCTCAGGCTGCCCACCCATGCTTTAACTCTTGCTGGATCCAAGACCCCACAAATTGGAAGGGACTCAGGCACCTTGCAGACCCATTCCCCCAAATTCACAACTCTTTCCCTTTCTCTCTCTCTCTCAGAATAATGCAGTCTTTGGAACAAGGGGGGTTGTGTAATCTCCCTGACGTGACCCACAACCATCCTCCACAGAGTACCACTCACAACTGTACACATACATTAAGCCAGCGAAGAGAAATATTGCTATCTGAGTCCTGGTAAAATGCCTGGTCCCTCAAGAGAAGGCGACTCCGCTGGCTTCATTTCTTAGATACTTCAGTTTTGGGGGTAGAGGAGGTCTTTGTGGACTTGCCTGTATTTACATATTCATTTGAAGCAAAGCCTCAAGAAGGCAACCCCTTTCCCCTTCTCAGGAAATGAGAAGGTTTTGCTTTAGGCCTTTCAGAGGTAGGCTGGTACAGGCCAGGAAATAACCTACACTCACGTGGGAGGGAGGGAGTTTTGGGAAGCCTGTTGCAGAGAGGGAGGCAAATATCCTCTTTTGGGGGGGGTCACTTTAAAAGCAGAGGGGGTAAAACTTTGGTGTGCAACCACAGGACTTCAGGCCTCTTCCAAAAGCTGGGGGGAGAAGAGTTTTCCATTCAAAAATAAAATAAAATGAGCACATTCTTACCATCACAACCTTTCTGCCTGTGGCAGCACCCCTAAATCCTAAAGGCAGCCACCTCACCCCCTCCAGACTGATTTATTTTTTGCAGGTATATTCTGCAGGGTGTCCTTCACACAATAATAGTACACACGTGGTGGGTTCATACTGGACGACCCACATGTATTCTCACACTTTTGTTAGTTGTTCTGCAATGTTCCCCCGATGTTTTTGCATTATTGGCATTCAGAGTGTTACTCTTCCACAACTGCAGGACTGAAAAAGTCCAAACTGGGATATAAAAACTCACAGACTTTCAGCAGGAAGCAGCCTGTCTGCCCCAAAACCTTTAACACCCCATACCATCGTTAATGCTCAATTAAGAAGGAAGGCTGGAAGGGCCTTCACGTAACCCATAATCTCTCCTTCTTCCTCTGCCAGAAAAGGAGGAGAACCCCTAAACTGTAGCAAAAAGTTGAAGAGCTCTTGGGAAAGCTGGCCACCCTCACTGCCTTGAGAAGGGCACTGCTAGAAGGCTACGGCTCTTGCAGTTGTCACAAAAGGGCTTGCCAACACAGTCGTGCCTTAAGTAATGAATGACATGCTCTCTCATTCCCTTGTGCTGGAAGCCTCCTTGCCAGGTATATTTGAGCCACCTCCTGTGCACCCTGCCAGGGTGGTGGTGGGAAAAGCATGGGGGAAATCACCTTCTTTGGGCCAGGGGCTACTTCTAAATGGTGGGAGGGCAGAACAGCCCACCAGCCCCGTGGCGAAAGATCAGAGTGAGGGGAGCTCTATTCTAGCAACATCCAGAGGTTCCCCAGCTTTGTGCCAGCCTGCTCGTCTACAACTGCCGGGTTGGAATCCTCTACTCGGTTGCGGCCTGATCCATGACGGGTCTCAGCCGTAGTGCAAACACCATACAGATATATGGCAAAGAATAAAAAATACCATTCTCAAATGTACATTCCAAAAAGGTGGACTACTACCCGTGCCTGTACCATGGACTGCATACAGAGTGTCAGGGGTCTGGATTAATGAGCATTTAGCTAAAAATTCGCTGGCCCTGCATTCCTCAACGTCCCACGCTAGGGGAGTGAGACTCTGGGTGGGCAGAGCCTGCCTGTCACACAGCCCCTCACCCCCAGCTCAGCCTAATTAAAGAATCCTACATCTCTTAGCAGGGGATTAAGCACCAACCTCACCCTGGACATTTCCATGGGTAAGGGAACCCCCACCCAACCCCACCAACTCCCAACAAACCCATGACAGGAGGAAACAATCTCTGGGTTCTGGAAGGAGAGAAACTCTTGCTGCTTTGCGTGGTGGAGGCTGGACTACATTCCAGAGTCCTTACCTACTGGAGAGAGAGAATAGGGCTTCCCCCCACTGCACTCCACCCTGACCCCTGCCCGTCCCAGGGCATCTGAGCGTGAAGCAAGCGCATGAACCTGAAACAACAACACTACGCTCCAGGCACAGCCAAGTGCGCACACACCCACACACACACCAGAGCTAAACTTTCCCAAAGCCAGACCAGCTAGCTGAACAGCTAACCCGCATCTTCCCTCTAGAAGGGAGTCGTACGACCATCCCCGCTGCCTTCCATCCCTGGCTGGAGTCTGCGCACCCTCCCTCACACAGGCAGGATAAAGAGGCGCCTCTGTCTGTTACCTGCCAGGAAGAGACAAATTCCACCCAGGAAGACGCCAAGCCACAGGGCATTCATGGCTGCTCCCTTGCTGACATGGGAAGGCAGGCGGGTCTCAGGAGGAGAAGCCAGGAGGGGGGCCAGTGCTCAGCTGGGCTGGGAGAGCAGCGTGCACACTCCTGGGTCCCAGGCAGGAGGAAAGGGATTGGAGAGGAAGCCTGCCAGCACACAACCACCTAATCCATCTCAGCTCTAAACCTCCCCAGCTGGCTCCTATCACTGCTGACAAGAATGTTTGCTTGCGACCTCCCCTGCAGGGCAAGGCGGGGCTGGGGGGTGGCAAGAGAGAGGGGTTGTGGTGTGCAGGAGTGTCTGGCCACAGCTCATGGGTAAAGTGTCTGCTTTTCATGCAGACCATCCCATGTTCAACTCCCAATGGGATTTCCAGGTACGGGTGAGAAGGAGCCTTGCCTGAAATTCTGGGAGAACTTCCGCCAGCCATTGTACTATAGTTATTCATTGTACTTGTATTAGTTGGGACGCGGGTGGTGCTGTGGGTTAAACCACAGAGCGTAGGACTTGCCGATCAGAAGGTCGGCGGTTCGAATCCCCACAACGGGGTGAGCTCCTGTTGCTCAGTCCCTGCTCCTGCCAACCTAGCAGTTCGAAAGGACGTCAAAGTGCAAGTAGATAAATAGGTACCGCTCTGACGGGAGGGTAAACAGCGTTTCCGTCTGCTGCTCTGGTTCGCCAGAAGCGGCTTAGTCAGGCTGGCCACATGACCCGGAAGCTGTACGCCGGCTCCCTCGGCCAGTAAAGCGAGATGAGCGCCGCAACCCCAGAGTCGTCCGCAACTGGACCTACACCCAACAAGTGCTGCAGAAGGAAGTGAGGAGCCACCTAGGAGACAGGAAAACTCTAATGCTAAACCTCCACTGCCTTGTGGGACATCTTTGGGAGATGAAAAGGCTAAGGAGTAAACACAACAGAAATCTGGAGCAGAGTCCGTAAGGATGCTTCCTTCCAGCAACTCCTGGTGCCAATCATCTTGCTCTGCTTTCCTTTGGACCCCATCAGTGAGGCCAAGAGGGGGGTCTTGTCGTCTGGGCTGCCCAGGACCTCAAAACACACTGCCCAGGCTTGTGTCCCTGTGGAGGTCACTTCAGTGTCACTAACACAGTGGTTTGAGTTCACCCTGAGAGGCACACTCCATTGTCTCTCAAGACAGACAGATACCAACAACTTGTGTGTCACACACATCCACACACACACACGCTTTTACCAAAAAAGTAAACACAAAGCGACTTAAAATACAATGCAAAAATAAACCAAACTACAGAAAATAAAAGCTGGTCTGAGGCATCCCTCCATGTGCTTGACAGACCAGTGGCCTGAATCAGTGTGAGGCAGCTTCCCCTGTTGTTGTCAGGGAAGGGTCGTACCCTAGTGGCAGAGTGCATGCAAAATGTCCTGGATTCAATCCCCAGTGGCATCTCCAGGCAGGGCTGGCGGAGACTCCCTGCCTGAAACCCTGGAGCTGCCAGTCAGTGCCAGACGGCACTGAGCGAGATGAACCAGGGCTGAGACATGGTGTAAAGAAACACCCTCTCTTCTGACGTGTGACCCACGCTCCCTCCCTCTCTGGTGCATGCCTGGGTCTGAATCTTACTTGCTTGGGAAGGAAAGCGTAGGCATCCCCTGGGCAACAGGGGGTGTCTCGGAATTCAGCCCATTGGCTAGGAAAACAATGGTTTCAGAGGGGCTGGCACAAACTGCTTTGCTGCGGACTCTGCTTCACATGAAAAGCACGCCCTTCCTTTTGGCCACTCAGCTCACACTTGCCTGGTGACTTCCCCGCTGGAGAGAAGACAGCAGTGACCATCTGAGCATAGCAGGGTGGGCTTTCTCTTCCTCCTGCTCCTCAAATAGGCTCCACAGTTATTAATGGCTTTAGCATGTTAAGAGGGATACGACAAGTGAGGAAAGGCAGCAGCAGAAGGTCCCACAAACTGTTTTGTGTCAAAGTTCACAACACCCTGAGAAGATAACTGAAGCAGAGTCGCTCAGTGGGTAGAGCACCTGCACTGCATGCAGAAGACCCCCCATTCAACACACCTGCTGGAATCTCCAGGTGGCCTGGGGGAGATTCCAGATGGATGGACGGCCTGACTCAGTGTAAGGCACCGTTCTGTGTTCCTAGAGAGAAACTTGTTCAAGCCAGAGCCTTGATTTCTTTTATTTAAAAAGCCAGAAAAGAATAAAATAAACTAGCAACATCCTGGCCGCAGCAAATACCAATTCACAAGAGTGACCTTTAAATGCTCAAATGCCAGTGAAGCCCCAGTATATCACCTGGAAGCCATCTTGTGGGGGGCTACAGAGCAAGCGCAGGTGATGCACCTCAGTCTTCTGTTGACGTGAAACCAGAGAGGTTGCAGACTATGCTGGCGGGTCGTCCCCCCCATGTTATTGTCCCACAAGCTCTTCTTCCCTGAGGGAAACGTCTGCTGCTCCCTGTAAACAAACTGGTGCTTGAAAAGGGATAGCAATTTGTGGGCCCCCTTGGATGGGGCTTTCCATGGGGACCTGCAAGCTCCCTTTCAGTCCAACAGCATATTTACCTTTAAAAATGAGGTCAGGTATGTAGGGCAGCTGGATGCAGCCTGGCCAAAATGGTCTGGTGGGGCTAATAATGTCTGAGGGCTGAAGCCACCCCCCCCCACACCACTGCTCTAACAAAAGAGAGCTAAACTGACCACCAAACCCCCCCCCACAGATCTGACTGCAACACAGGCAAAGAGCAACACTGCCAGACAACTCAAGCAAGTGAGCCACGCCATATGCTGTGAAGGAAACCACAACATCAGTCATTTTAGATGCAAGGAACTAGCAGGAGTGCAGAAATGAGAGCAGATCCACACCATACATCCAGAGCATATGACTTACACACACACCTGAATCCTGGCAACTGTTCCACCCTCACAGAGCTGCCATTCCCAGAGTTCTATACAGGTGAAACTTTAAAAATTAGAATATCATGAAAAAGTTCCTTTATTTCAGTAATTCAACTTAAAAGGTGAAACTAACATATGAGATCGACTCATGACATGCAAAGCGAGATCTGCTTCTACTTCTCAGAGGTCCAGTCTTGCTCCATTTGCAATCCTTGTTTTGATGATTTCCTTGAATATTCTAATTTTCTGAGATGGTCAATTTGGGGTTTTCGTCAGCTGTACGCCATGATCATCGCAATGATAACAAATCAAGGCTTAACCTATCTCGCTTTGCATGTCACGAGTCAATCTCATATATTAGTTTCACCTTTTAAGTGGAATTAGTGAAAGAAAGGAACTTTTCCACAATATTCTAATTTTTCAAGTTTCACCAGTAGGTAGGGAGATATGTCATGTGCTTTGAATGTATAGTTTGGATCTGTACTCCGGGGACGCAGCTTTGGGTGTACCCCTCCTTCCCTGGTTCCTTCCCTCCAGACCCCTAAACTGTCCTCTGGTTGTTCTGGCAAAGGGGCTGCGAAAGGGGCTTCCTCTACCTGCTCACCTCCTCCCCTCTCAGCAGAAGTCCATTCGCAGCGCAGGCTAAGCTGTCAACAAGCAGGCAGGTCGGCTCCTGCTGACTCCATCCCTTAACTCAGCCCTGCTTCAGAAAAGGGGTGAGGGCTTCAGATGGGGGAGACTCAGGGACCCAGATCAGGCTGGCAGCAGCCACTCATCCCAGGGGCTTCTTGAGAGAAAGGAAAAACCCCACCGCAAGGCAGGGCAGAGCTGCCACAGAAAGGCACATCAGGAACTGTTGTGGGAAGCTTTCAAAGGCTGCTCCGTGATCCTAATGTGAAGTAATAAGCTGTTTACCCAGCAGGACCAGACTGGGATTAATTGACAAAGCAGGAGAGATTAATAGCTATTATTTCCCTGTCAGCTTCGCTCCTCCACAAACTCTCACACTGAGCTTGCAAGGATGCAGAATGAGTTTGCAGCCAGGCCCCTGGGCTAAGCTGACCCCTCCACCCCCCCACCACATATACAAGGCAATGGGCTCCATGGGCCAAACAAAAGCACTCCCTGGACTCTGATCCTCACCATCAACCTCCCCCACCCCACAAAAAAAGAAAGCACCCCACATGCAGTGACAAAACCTAAGAACACTCTCAGATCAAAACCAGGAACTGAGAAAAAGGAGCTATAAGCAGCACACATGGCTGAACTCCTGGCCAGCCAAGGGCAATGGAGGGAGCCAACTTTTCCTATAAATAATGCAGACCAGCCATGTCGTTGTTTGGACCTTTAATTTTTTTTAAAAAAAAATTGATATAAATTACTAGCTCAGACATGGGATTGTTGTGTCACTGCTGAAGCTCTTGTTGGGTGTGGCCCCTCAGGATCTTTGCATTCGTCCAGCCTTCACCAACCGGGTGTCTTTCAGATGTTTTAGACTGCAACTCCCCTTCAGCCCCAAAGAGCACAGCTGTATGGTGCTAGGGCTAAAAAATGGGATTTGTAGAGTTCAAAACATCTGGAGGATACCAGGTTGGTGGGTAGGGTTGCCATATTTCATAAAGTAAAAGCCAGGACATCCCAAAAGTTTTTTTAAGGAAGACCCCCCAAATTGTTGAGCTTGTTTTTAAGGAAGCCACCCAAGATTGTGTTGTTCCCTGGACGTCAATTCCACCTTTGAAATCCCAGTAATGTCCAGGAAAATCCAGATATATGGCAGCCCTATTGGTGTGGGCTAATCTAGGGTATGTATGTATGTAGGGTGTGTATGATGTATGGAAGTGAGAGCTGGACCATAAAGAAGGCTGATCAACGAAGAATTGATGCTTTTGAATTCTGGTGCTGGAGGAGACTCTTGAGAGTCCCATGGACTGCAAGAAGATCAAACCTCTCCATTCAGAAGGAAATCAGCCCTGAGTGCTCACTGGAAGGACAGATCCTGAAGCTGAGGCTCCAAGTCTTTGGCCACCTCATGAGAAGAGAAGACTCCCTGGAAAAGACCCTGATGCTGGGAAAGATGGAGGGCACAAGGAGAAGGGGACGACAGGGGACAAGATGGTTGGACAGTGTTCTCGAAGCTACCAGCATGAGTTTGACCAAACTGCGGGAGGCAGTGGAAGACAGGAGTGCCTGGCATGCTCTGGACCAGGGGGTCACGAAGAGTCGGACACGACTAAACGACTAAACAACAACAATGAGGCTAGGGCTAAATAATGGGATTTGTAGAGTTCAAAACATCTGGAGGACACCAGGTTGGTGGGTAGGGTTGCCATATTTCATAAAGTAAAAACCAGGACATTCCAAAAGTTTATTTAAGGAAGACCCCCAAATTGTTGAGCTTGTTTTTAAGGAAGCCACCCATGATTGTGTTGCGTTGTTTCCTGGATGTCAATTCCACCTTTGAAATCCCAGTAACGTCCAGGAAAATCCAGATATATGGCAGCCTCATTGGTGTGGGCTAATCCAGGGTGCTTCCAGAAGTGGGCTTAATATTGGAAACAAGTCATTGGCGGCAGGGGGTTTGAACTTAATTATACTTTCTGAGGAAAGGATAGCATAGAGAAACAGACTGGCATTTTGATGCTGATGAAGTTGGGCAGGTGCTGCAAAGAAAGTGCATGAGCAGCAGCAGCAGCACCAGAATAAATACCAGGCTGGAAGTGCCCTTACTGTGAGAAAACAGCTCCAGTCCTGTTTCTTCCTAGCTCTTGCAACTACAAAGTTCTGGGGTGAACTCAGAAGCAGGAGGAAAATGGGACATTGTTCACAGGCATGACACTTCACAATCCTACAAAGGACCCTGCAGTCTGTCAGAAGAGCGCTGCAGCAGAATCAAACTAAAGCAGTTGTCAGGTCTAGTAGGCATGGATAGCCTTATGCAGGGGTCAGCAAACTTTTTCCGCAGGGGGCCAGTCCACTGTCCCTCAGACCTTGTGGGGGGCTGGACTATATTTTTGGGGGGAGGAACAAACATCGACTCTCCCCTCCCTTCTCCACAGAACCGGACGAGCCCCAGTTGCTGCTTACCTGTGCCTTGCGAGCGGCAGGGGCTGGCGGTGGCGGAGGGACAATGAGCAGTGTGAAAGGCCTGGCTCCGGAGAGGCGCTGCTTAAAATGGCGCTCAGCCAACCGCAGCTCAACAAAGCCTAGCCCCCTTCCTCCTCTAGGCAGGGCAGGGAGAAGCCAGGAGGAGGGGGGGAGGAGGCACCATCATGGTGTGAGGGAGGGGGGAATGGTGCAGCCTGAATGATCAGAATTCCCACACTGATCCATGCAGAGATTCCCGGACCATCCATGGGTCGGATCCAGAAGTCAGTTGGGCCGGATCCAGCCCCCAGGCCTTAGTTTGCCTACTCATGGCCTTATCCAACCATCTGTCCAAACCCCTTTTGAAGGCAACACAGAATATTGTGGCCTTTAAATACTGACAATGTGGCACAAGTGTTTGTGGACTACAGTTCATCAGATGCATGAAGTATTATTCTGAGAGTCAGGCGTGCGCGCGCACACACACACACACACAGACACACACACACACACACACACACACACAGTACAAGTTGTGGGGGTGGGGGAATAAACAGTGAGGTTAGAAAGAAAGGGAATGCAGAAAAAATGCAGGTAGCAATCATTCCCTTATTAATAATGACTGTTCACAAACACACAAACCAATAGTTGATAACACAGACATTCTGGCATTGGGAAGCCAATTAGCACTTGCATGTGATTAAAAAAAAAAATATTGTGCTGCTTCAGTCCACAAGTGTTATCATAAAACCTCTTCATGCATTGCAATGGTCTAAGGACTGCAATCTCTCTCTGAAGTTCCTGTGTTCGTAGATAGCCACCTTTTAGTCAGTTACAGATACAGTCATACCCCGGGTTGAATACGCTTCGAGTTGAGCGCGTTCGAGTTGCGCTCCGTGGCAACCTGGAAGTAATGGAGTGTGTTACTTCCGGGTTTTGCCGCTTGCACATGTGCAGACGCTCAAAATCACATCACGTTCATGCGCAGAAGCGGCGAAAAATGACGCGCGCGTGCACAGATGTGCCATCGCTAGTTACGTTTGCTTCTAGATGCGGACGGGGCTCCAGAACAGATCCCGTTCGTATCTAGAGGTACCACTGTAGTCAGTTACAGAGTGTCCTAGTAGTGTCAAAACAGGGTCTACAATATTCACCGATACCTTGCTGGCTGGTGGGTTTCCCACATTTTTCTCAGAATTCCTTTACACATTCCTGGACTGAGCAATGATTGAGCTCAAAGCAAGCCTGGAATAGGAGAAGTTGCTACTGCCCTAGAGAAACTAACAAGCAACTCCTTTCAGACTTTCATATTTCTCTTCCTCCCACAAGATGGCAGACTCACAACATGTTAGAAGACCCAGGACAGAAGGAACTGCAAAACTAGCTGCAGGATTCCATGAAACTGAAGAGTGAGGATGAAAGGGGGGCAGGTTGCTTAGGAGTTGCTAGTCCAGGACAAAGACTGATGAAGATTCTTTACAGCTAAATCTTAGTAAAGTGAAAGAGAGGCTGTAGCTCATCACTGGCCTCCCACTTTTAAGCTAAAGCACAGTAATCTCTAGTACCGTATTTGAGGAACCACAATATTTCAACTGCAAAGCCTAGCAGAGATTCATGGACAGCTGTGAGTCCACAAGCTGCAGGCAGCACACCTGGTCCTTCAGGGGCACAGTTACCCCAATCAGGACCAGGGATGTTTCTTGTGAAGCAAACCCACTTCCCCAAATGCTAAGATTCAGCCTAAATTCTCGCAGTGTGACCTTATTACCCTTGGTAGCTTATCCCCGTCCTTTAAATCATCCCAGTGACTTGAAATGTTTTAAACTGTGATGCCAATAAAGGTATTTGATTTGATTTGATTCCCAGGCTGAATGCTCATTAAATGGGTCACTGTGCAGGATTTTCTTCTCAGGAATTTAAAGGTGCCAGATGAAAGGGGTGCATAACAAACACCCCTCCGAAACTCAGGAAATTCCAGGCAGGTGGTGCCTGAGGATCTTATGCTGCTGTTTACATGCCATCATAATAAGAAGCCCATTTTTACCCTTACCCGCTTGAGGCGAAATGGGAACATGCCACCCTGCGCTGACACTGGCACCACCAGACCCCACTGCCCCGCCACTGCTGAAGCTTACCTCCACGAGGTCTCATGAGATTTTGGTGAGCTCTTGCTCTCATCAGAAACCAGATTGCCTACCACCACTGCTTCTCCGCTGCCGGTGGAGGCAGCAGGGACTGCCGCTGCTCAAGGTGGTCACCAGGGGTGCCAACTTGAATAAAATATTGTGGGGGCCCAGGTAAGCCCTGCCCCACATACCTCGGGTTGAATGTGCTTCAGGTTGAGCGCTTTCGGGTTGTGCTCCTGGAAGCGCGTTACTTCCAGGTTTCGCCGCTCGCGCATGCGCAGACGCTCAAAATGACGTCACGCACATGCACGGAAGCAGCAAAACGCAACCCGCGAACGCACAGACGCGCCGTCGCATCTTACGTTCTATTCAGGATGCAAATGGGGCTCTGGAATGGATCCCGTTTGCATCCCGAGCTACCACTGTAGTTGATGACATGATGCAGAGCACACGCACTTTTTGAATGGTAATGCCCAACAACCTGGGGGGACAGCCCCCTCAAATATTTTATTGTGGAGTCTGAAGCCCCCACATCCCCAAGGAGTTGGCTCCTGTGGCGTTCACCTCACCTTGTGGGCGGGCCCTGCTTACCTGAGTACCCTGGCAGGCAGTGACACTGATAGCTGTTCACCAGATCCACACAGCTCCCTCCGTTCTGACATGGTTGGGATGTACATTCATCAATGTTGAAGAAGCAAGTCTCTCCTTCAAACATGTCAAAAAGAAATTATGTTAGATGTCCCAACTATTTTCTCACTGATTCAATAATCTACACATAATTCAGTTAAGTTTCACTAACGACAAATATACAACGGGTGAACTATTTTTTAGATCCACCTTTTCATTGTTGTTGTGGTTGTTGTTATTTCAATTTATTAGTCACTTGCCACATAAGAGTTTCCAAATGATTTATAAAATTTTAAGAGAATAACGTAGAATCAGAAAAAATAACAAAGCATTACAACAGTAAGCACTAAACGGTTAGAGCCTATAAAATAGAACCGATAAAATGGAAAAACCACAGCAGCAAAAACACATCATCGGTAGACAGCAAATCATCATAATCTGGCATTGTCATTATTTGGGGCTGATTAATTATCTCTTGGTTTTGTTTTTGATGTGCTTTTCGTTAATATGTTTGTGCCTTGTCTATTTTTGGATGCTTTGCATGGGTGCATTAATGCATCATTCCTTTCCCTTGATTTTCAGCTGTGGTGTCGCACTGTGAATTACTTAGTTTTAAAAAACTACAAAATAGAAGTAAAGCCAAGATGATGCACACACTCAGAGCCCCAGGTCACAGAATTTACAAAGCTCTTTGATCAAGCATCTCCTCTGGAGCATTCAGAACGAAACATGCGCTCCACCTGGCAGTGTATTACTTACCATCAAAGCCTGGCTGGCACCTGCAAATGAATCCAGCAGCTTCCTGGTAGGTGAAGTGCAGGGGGAAGTCTATGTGATCTCCGTAGTAGCTCTGATTGGACCGTTCAAAGCACTGGCCCCCATTGAGGCAGGGCACGGCGGCACATTCGTCTACATCAACTTCACAGTGTTCCCCTACGTATCCTGGTGACAAAAAGGGAAAGGGGGCAGGAGGCCAGGTGAGCTGATGTGTGCCTCATTTGTCACAAAGCAATGGGCTAGATCTAGGAACCCCCTAACCCAGGGGTCGGCAAGGTTTATCTCACCTGGGCCGGTTCACTCCAGCAGAGATCCCTCCGTGGGCCGGATCGCGCACATGCCCGTGATTTCCGGCTCCTGCGCAGACACAATTTCCAGCACCACGGAAGCGAGTCCCTGCGCCGTGCTGGTTTAGCGCAGGACACAGGGACTCACCGAGCAGGTGGCTCATTTTGGGGGCAGCTCGTGGGCCGGTTAAACGACCCCCGTGGGCCGCTTGTGGCCCATGGGCCTTCGGTTGCCAACCCCTGCTCTAACCCAGACACTCCATGCTCAGGGTCATTCTGTCCACCTAAAGAGATGCCAACAAGACATCTTCCTTCTCTAGCAAGTTATCCCCAGGGGTGCTTTGCTCAATGGTGGTGGCAGGGGCATACCTAGGGGTTGGGCGGGTTGGCCCCAGCCAAGGGTCCAGGCCCCAGGGGGTGCAGAAACAATGCCTCTTCACTCTGGCTTGGGCTAGGAGCCTGCCCGCCCGTGTACTCCCTGGCCACTCCTCTGCTGTTCTGTGCAGCCAAGTGAGTGCATAGGCTCCTCTGGACTCCTTACTCAGCAGAGGAATCTGGTCACTGGTTGAGGCCACCACAGTGGCCCTGAGGGGCCCTCTCCCCAGTTGGCTGGCAGTGATCTTAGAAGTGAAAGCAGAACACCCTGTGGGGCTGGAGGAAAGAAAGATGGAGAGAGCAAGTGAAAGATGAAGTAGAGGAAAAAGGAAGGAAGAAGGAGACAGAAGGGAAAACAGTGAGTGGAGGAGGCAGGTAGGCAGGCAGGTGGACCAACAGAGATGGGGGGAGAGGCAGAATAGAACAGACCCAACCCTAATGGCCACAGATGGTTACTGACATAAAGCGAAAAGTGACGAAAAACAAAAATTTTAAACAGCCTTATGAGAAAAACTAGACAGCATCTAAAAAAAGCAAAGACATCACCTTGACAACAAAGGTCCATATAGTTAAAGCTATGGTTTTCCCAGTAGTGATGTATGTAAGTGAGAGCTGGACCATAAAGAAGGCTGATTGCCAAAGATTTGATGCTTTTGAATTATGGTGCTGGAGGAGACTCTTGAGAGTCCCATGGACTGCAAGAAGATCAAACCGATCCATTCTGAAGGAAATTAGCCCTGAGCGCTCGCTGGAAGGACAGATCCTGAAGCTGAGGCTCCAAGACTTTGGCCACCTCATGAGAAGAGAAGACTCCCTGGAAAAGACCCTGATGTTGGGAAAGATGGAGGGCACATGGAGAAGGGGACGACAGAGGACGAGGTGGCTGAACAGTGTTCTCGAAGCTACCAGCATGAGTCTGACCAAACTGCGGGGGGCAGTGGAAGACAGGAGGGCCTGGCGTGCTCTGGTCCAGGGGGTCACGAAGAGTTGGACACAACTAAATGACTAAAGAACAACAACTAACTGAAACTGACTCGGGGACAAATAGAAAAAGACGCCTTCACCCTGGCATGGTTCTTCTTTATCACATACCCAGCCCAACAAGACAACAACAAGTATCCGCCGACAGCATACAAATCAATCTGGCTAACCTGATCCAAACACACACACACACACACACCACTCACACACACAAAACAAATCTCACTACAGCAAACCAATGACAACCAACCACTCCCTAGGCCAACCCCAACCTCTCTCACCACCAAGGAAATACAACAAGCGAAAACCCACACAAGTGACGCTGACACAAAACCCCACACATACACTAAGTAGAAGAATAGAAGCATTGCCACCCGACCCCACCCCACTCACCATTGCCCCCTCTCCCTCTTTCTCCCTCATTTCCTCCTAGCCTAATACTGCATGCAACATTAATGTCTCATAACAAATGAAACTGATCTGTAGAAAACACAACTTGAAAAAAGAGACAATGCACGTATTTTTGTAAAGCAAGAAATATTTGATAAAAATATTTTATAAAAAAAAAGCACACAAAAAATGAGTTTCTGGTTCATGGTCTCTTCTGGCTTTGGAGGCACCAATACAGCTCCTTGTCAAGGGTGCAAGGGAGCCTAGGTATGCCTCTGGGTGGTGGTGGGGCACAGACTGAATTTGGAGGTATCCACACTCAGCTTATAGTGAGTAGAGACTTTCCAAACTAGGGAACCTTTCATTCCAGTCCCCTGGTTATGTGCTCATCACCATCACCCGTTCTTCCATTATGACTTCCCTCAAAGAATTCTGGAATTATAATTTCATGTGCATGTGAAGAATTCATTCATTCATTCTCTCTCACTCACTCTCATCCCAGCTCAGAACTACGTTCTCTGTAGATTCCTGAGAAAGATGTGAGCAGGTCGGTGGGGTGTAGCCAATACTAGTCCTACTCAGAGTAGACCCATTGCAAAGAGTAGGCCCATTTGTCTTAATGGGTCTACTCTGAGCAAAAGTTACATACATCACTGAACACAGATTCATGGAGTCACACAGCATGAACTGGCATGACGCCCGTCCCTGCCTGCATTGTAGAAGGACTCCTGCTGCGTAGAAGATATGTTGGCAATCAGAACCAGGAATGGATGGACCTGCCTACTTTGGTTTCTCCTGGCTTCTCGTTTTAGCCATCTTCACCATATTGTTGCATCAGTTTTCAACTTAAAAAAACACAACTATTAAAAAAATGTTTTAAATGTCCCCTAATTCCCTATTACAATGCATATGTTAATTTTCACCAATATTTTATCCACACTTTTCCCCAATATATACTGTTTTGGAGGCAGGCATTGAAGAACTGCATCATGAATTTTGGAGAAGCGCAGATTTCAAAGCTGTATTTCGTTTCAAATATTGTATTGAGACCTGAGCATTAAATGGTCTGCAGTAATGCAAACAAAACCAAATCTCGCTCTCCTGCTCCCAAATCACTATTCAGGACCCAGAGCCAGATTTCTGGGAAGGCAGCATGGAAGGTCAGTCACCCTTGCTGAGATAATTGAGGTGATTAACGATAGCTACTGTCTATTGTATTATCTCTGATGAACAGAGATAACAGGGATTAACTTCCAAATCTCTGGAAGGATAACTCCCCACCATGGAACCAATAAACCTACGAGGAACACAGACAGTGACCAAAGAGTGGAAGAACCATAAAGGTAAAGGTAAATTGGCTTTATTGCCTCGCTTTATTGGCCGAGGAAGCTGGCATACAGGGTCATGTGGCCAGCAGGACTAATCCGCTTCTGGCGAACCAGAGCAGCGCACGGAAACGCCGTTTACCTTCCCGCCAGAGCAGTACCTATTGATCTACTTGCACTTGGACGTGCTTTCAAACTGCTAGGTTGGCAGGAGCAGGGACGGAGCAATGGGAGCTCACCTCGTTGCAGGGATTCGAACCGCCGACCTTCTGATCAGCAAGTCCTAGGCTCTGTGGTTTATCCCACAGCGCCACCCACGTCCCTTGGAGGAACCATAACTTTGCCCAAATACCACATAATAGCCCTAGAGGTCAGTCCTTAGGGCAATGACCAGCAAAACCAATTTTTTGGTTTTTGAAACTCCTATAAATTACTACTAAGACTATCTCACTGTCAGTTAAAATGTTCATTTGAAATACGACCCGGCGGTTGGCTTACGAGGAGAAATCATTAAGGGGCTAAAAATTAATAAAGTAAGAAGAGTGCTCTTAACATACATACTGAATGAAGTTTTTCAAACAGCTAAGAGATTCTCCAGCTCTGAGAAATTTTTATCACATTGTGCTCTATTCCTAATTCTCCATCTCACTGGTGAATGTGCTGTTTATAATGTGAAACTACATGGTTGCCTGCTGTGGGAATTTGAGACACGCAATCTCAGATAAACAAGAAGTGTGTGGATTTCTGAGAGAGTACTCAGGGTAGTGAAAGTGCTGAAAAATACCCTATTGACTATCACTGTTGTACAGAAATTATTTGATGAACAATTGGAAGAAATTAGAGCAGAGATGTGTAAAATGATTAACAAAAATGCCCTGGACAAAGCTGAGGCCAGATAAGTTACAGAGTACTTGGGGGCAGGGGGGAATACTGATGGAGAATTGCCGAAAGAGGAGAATGGAATGGTAAAGTTAGAGGCAATAGATGATGAAATTGAGAGGACCTCTATACAGATGCCTGAAGGAGTGAGACAGCTAAATGCTGGAGGAGGGGAAGGTATCCAGGGATGGAGAGACTAAGAAATATCCTGAGCTGGCAGTTGAGAAAGAAAGGATTCTACATTCAATTTGGATTGAATTTAGAAGAAAAAGCTATTAAGCCTCTTGCAACACTTTAGGGAAAGGAATGGCAAATGAGGAAATGGAAACCGTGTGTGTGTGTGTGTGTACACACACACACACACACACACATACATATATATATATATATGGATGAAAAACCATGGCCAACAGGAAATGCATTTGGAAGATATGGATCTGGGTGTGAATTAATGACTTTACAATAAGTAAATAATTATGGATCATTGTCTTAATACATGACAACAGTAAATAAACTCTTGAGGGAATAAAGAACAAGGACGGAATGTTTCTCAATCTTGCAGGTAAAGCTGTGATGTTGGATTGGAGGAAGACTATTGTTGACTTTTATCCATAATAATAATAATTAGAGAACCTCTTTTGGACTCCTTGCCTCAAAAGAAAAATTAATAAACCTGAGATGCCCAGTCAGAAGACTGGAAAACATCGCCTGGCAGAGGGAGGATCAGCTGGATTGAGCATTCAGCTGTTTTGAAGAACTCTTGTATATATAATTGGCAGAGGGATAATAGGAAGTCCTTTTTACTTATTTCTTTTTTTAAAAACACACACCATATTTTCCCCCTTTTATACCCCTTCATTATTTCCTTTAAATATCCTTATCTTTTGTTCTGTTTCCTTTTCCTTTTTCTGTTTTGGTTTTAGTTTCGCTCAGCTTTGATTTTGTAATGTTTTGTGTTGTCCTCTACTCAGGCTTAAGGAGGGGTTAACATGCAGATGAAGGTGATGGATGTAGCAGTTGACCCTGCACGTAGGGAGGTGAAGATCTCCCAGGGTGGAAGGATGGGGGAAGCAAGAGGTGAGAGCTGGGAGGGTTCAGCTCTCTCTGTGTGGGACAAGTTAAGATTTACCTGTGAAAGAGGACTTCATATTTCTTTTTTGCTTCTTTCTCTGTTTTTGTTTTTGTTTTTGTTTAAATAAGTTTGCTTTGTATCATAACGTACTATGAAGGTCTTAATAAAATATTTTCCAATAATAATAATAATAATAATAATTTATACTCTGCCGATCTGGCTGGGTTTCCCCAGCCACTCTGGGCAGCTTCCAACAGAACACTAAAATACAATAACCTATTAAACATTAAAAGCTTCCCTAAACAGGGCTGCCTTTAGATGTCTTCTAAAAGTTTGGTAGTTATTTTTCTCTTTGACAACTGGTGGGAGGGCATTCCACAGGGCGGGCACCACCACCAAGAAGGCCCTCTGCCTGGTTCCCTGTAACTTGGCTTCTCACAGTGAGGGAACCGCCAGAAGGCCCTCGGAGCTGGACCTCAGTGTCCAGGCAGAACGGAGAAAAGGACCCAGAGCCCTGTATCATGTGTGATGATTTCAAGCTGACTTCTGGGGGAAGATTAGGATAATGAATAAATGCAACAGAGCCTGGGAAAGCTTTTGCAAAGTTAGTTGAGCCTGGAGGTACATTGTCAGATTCTCACAGGATTGGGGATGAGTTTACTGCTGGGCTGAAAGTCATAGGGACATGTTGACTTCACTTTGTGACGGGAAAAAAGCTTTTGGACTATAGGAGAACAACATAAAGACTTCACGTACCTGGCCAGCAAACACAGCTGTAGCATCCAACCCCTTCCAGGCAGGTACCACCATTCTGGCAAGGCTGGGAGGCACATTCCAAGATATCCAGCTCACAATGCTGCCCTTCAAAGCCCGTGTTGAGGCAGTCACACTGGTAGCTGAGGAAGAACAACAGCACAGAGCCATGATTCATGGTTAGGGAGCCTTTGCCACCACCCATGGAGAAAGACCCTTTTCGGGAATTGTTGGAAGATTCTGGACAGATGAAAGGAAGTAGATATTCATGCAGCTGAACTATGGAACTCCCTCGCACAGGAGGCAGGGATGGCCACCAACTTGGATGGACAAATTCATGGAGGAGAGGGCTATTGGTGGCTACTGGCCACAATGAGTCTGCTTTGCCTCCACAACGAAGACAGCAATGCTTGTGAATACCAGTTGCTGGAAACCACACGAGGGGAGAGTGTTGCTCTTGTGCTCAGATCCTGCTTGCAGGTTTCCCATTGCAACATCTGGATGGCCACTGTGAACAGGATGTTGGGCTAGATGGGCCACTGGCCTGACCCAGCAGGGTCTTTTTAGGTTCTTATGTCTTCTACATCATGCAATTCCACACTTCAGTTCATGAGAACTCAGGAGTAAATAGTTGTGGTCGTCATTACAAATAAAGTGGGCCTTGCAACGAGGGAGGGGAGTCCCTGCCCATTTTTGTTTCTCTCCATTTCTTAATTTTCCAGCCTGAAATTCAGTTATCCACATCTCCACATCAGTTTGAGATTTATTTAATTTGCTGTATTTTTTTAAAAGGTCTTCATGAAATTTCATCAGCATTTGGTTCAGATTTCTCCTACTGTACCTATTTTTGAATAGAATTTTGCCCACAACATACATTTTTGCAAAGCAAAATTAAAGTTACCCTTAATAACACATATTTTTAATACTATTTTCAGTAATATATGCATTGATAGGCACACTTATCCAAAGCATAAGCATTCTTGCTCACATTACTGTGAACTTCAGTTTGCAAATTGTACTGGAAAGTGTGAATTAGGGAGTTTCACCTATAAATGAGAACTGAATTGAATTTCCCTCCATCCTTACTTGCCACAAAATATCACAGCATAGACTGTTGCTGTTGAGGAGTCCATGCATTCCCTCCCAGCCTCCTCCTGCCCAGCTTCCCCTTCTCTCTCCCCCACCGCCACCCCACAGAGAATCATTCAATATTCCACAGACCTCGAACAAGCTCAGCCCCCATTAGGCCCTTCAGAGTGATTTCCACACCATCACCTTTGTACTACTGCAAACCTTAAAGGTAAAGGGACCCCTGACCATTAGGTCCAGTCGTGGCCGACTCTGGGATTGCGGCGCTCATCTCGCTTTATTGGCCGAGGGAGCCGGCGTACAGCTTCCGGGTCATGTGGTCAGCATGACTAAGCTGCTTCTGGCGAACCAGAGCAGCGCACGGAAACGCCGTTTACCTTCCCGCTGGAGCGGTACCTATTTATCTATTTGCACTTTGACGTGCTTTGGAACTGCTAGGTTGGCAGAAGCAGGGACCGAGCAACGGGAACTCACCCCGTCACGGGGATTCAAACTACTGACCTTCTGATCGGCAAGTCCTAGGCTCTGTGGTTTAACCCACAGCACCACCCGCGTGCAAACCTCAGGGTCTCCCAAAGCCTCCCTGTTCTGCTGGAGGTGGTGAACTATGTCATTCTCCCCCTGAAGACTGGAATTCATTTATGTTAGGGGGTTCCTCATATATGTCTACTGTTTGAGAAAGTTCTTCTGATGTGTTATGTGAGAATAAAAATGGTCCCTACTCCAGAATCATCTGCATCAAAAGCAGGTAAGGCAAGTACCGTATTTTTTGCACTATAAGACTCACTTTTTCCCTCCTAAAAAGTAAGGGGAAATGTGTGTACATTTTATGGAGCGAATGCAGGCTGTGCAGCTATCCCAGAAGCCAGAACAGCAAGAGGTATTGCTGCTTTCACTGCGCAGCGATCCCTCTTGCTGTTCTGGCTTCTGAGATTCAGAATATTTTCCTCTTCCAAAAACTAGGTGAGTCTTGTGGTCTGGTACGTCTTATAGAGCGAAAAATACGGTAATTCTATCTGTGCACAAATCAGATGACCATCTAGATCTCTTGGAAATAAAAATAAGAATAAGAGATGGCATCTTCCCCCAGGGGGTGTTAGATTCTGCCTTCCATGCCCCACCCTCCTGCTGCAGGAACCTTCATGGTGGAGGTCTGGCAGATGACCAGTGACACGTTACTGGGCTTTGAGTCTAGGTATAAAAAGGGGGGTCTGAATATTGCCTTGTACTGCATTTTACTTATATTGCAGGGGGCTGGACTACATGACCCTTGGGGTCCCCTCCAGCTCTACCATCCTATAATTCTAGGTCAGACCACTGGGCACCTTCTAGCTCAGAATGATCTGCAATGACAAGAAGCAGCTGTTTGGCGCTTCAGACAGAAGTCTTTCCCAAACCTACCTGGAAATTTCATGGGTTAAACTTGGGACCTTTTACACGGAAAGCAGGTGCTCTATCATGGAGCAATTTTTATTTCCCAATTGACAACATCCCAGAATAATACCTTCAGCTCTGGGGGCAACTTTTGAGTGTCATCAGTTGATCTAACGGTAAGCTTTACACTCAGTTAACTTTCTTCTGCTGTATTTTAAATGAATTGTAGATTTGTTAGTGTTGCAGTGGCAATACTAAGAATTAGTATTATACTGTACTCTTGAGTTTAGACAGCTTCTTTTCTGCAAACGCAGTTTAGCCACAAATGCATCTGTGGAAAACATGGTATATACTGTAGATAAGCTGGTGGGGGCAAGGTTGGGAGATAACGGGAGCCATATCAAATCCTGCTGGGTGAAGCCAGAGCCACTCACCTGTTGATGAGGTCGAGGCACCTTCCCTCATTGAGACACGGGTGGCTCTGGCACTCATTGATGTCCACCTCACACTGTGCTCCCTCATACCCAGGTGTACACGAGCAGGTGAAGAACCCAATATGGTCACTGCAGGTGCCACCATTCCAGCAAGGGCCCGACTCACATTCATCAACCTCCACTTCACAGTTCACACCTTGGTTGGAAGAGCAGAAGAAAGAATGGTGAATTGACAGGAAGATTTACATGCCACACTCTTAAATTTTCCAGTGCTTTGGAACTTTTACTTCCTTGTTCACTTTACAGGAGAACAGAAGCCCAACAAGTCTGAGGAACATAGGAAGCTGCCTTTATGCTGGGTGAGACCACTGCCTCATCTAGATCAGTATTGTTTACTCTGACTGGCAGTGACTTTCTGCAGAGTCTCAGGCAGAAGTCCTTTCCCACCCCACCCCACAGGAGAGGCCAGGGATTGAATCTGGCGGCAGGTGCTGTGCCACTTGTTAGGGAACTGCCATCAGCTCAGAGGCGAGAGATGGAAGGGCAGTTGTGTTATAGGGAGCCTCCGAAAATCTTACAAAGCAGTTCCTCTTCTGGGGAGGAGGAAAGCCCCACCTCCAGTGGGGAGGAGGTGCAGGGACCAGGGGATGCTAGGGAGATCCTCAACACCAAGCCTGAGCAAACCAGAGAGGCGGGAAGTACGCCCTTGCCAGCGCCCAATCTGCGCAGTAGTCTTCGGCACAGGGAGGGGCAGAAAAGGCTGGGGGTGACGCGACTTTTATGCTGGGGGAGGTACAAAGACCGACCACTCCCAGATTCTGCTAGCGATTGAGCCAGACATGAACTTACGACGCTCTTCACTGTAAATAGTTTGCACCAAGAATAAAGCCTGGAAAAGACAGGTCGGAGTCTTGGCTGTTTACTCTCGAGCAACCACACCAGCATCTGACACCACTGAACTAGGACCCTTCCTCCAGAGCAAAGTTCTAATGCCCCTTCGATGGCCAAGCCAGCTCAGCACTGTGCCATCACCTCCAACTTCAAAGGTGGGAAACTGAGCCCAAGAGAGGATTGACCTGCTCAAGTTGTTGCAGGGGTGAAATCCAGGGAGCCACACCTACATGCTATGTGTGGGTGGTGCCTCCAGTCTGAGTGCACTGGAAACCCCAGCATGGACCTCTCTGCTGCCAGGAGGGATGTCCATCCAGTAGTGAGGATGCCCCCCATAAACTCCAAATGAGATGGGAGTTGCGTAGGAGTTAAGTGGGTGCTTTGGGGCCTGATTGGGCTCCTGTAGTTTTCTCCCGGTTGTAGCTGCTGCGTGGAACTTTCCCCCAAGTCTAGTGATGTTGCAATAAAGTGAGGTTTCTTTTCAAGGCCTGACTATGTCATATTTTCCCTCTGAACCCCCAACTCAATAAGGAGGCAAGATGCACCCTGGCCAAACTTTAAGATAGTCTTGAAAACACACTAAGGGCTTGTCCACACTTCCGCATGTTGTCTAGGAAGCATGTGTCTGAGCAGTTTTCTGCTTGTCCTGTCCTTTGTAGGCTCCGCCCTTGCCTCTCTGCTTTCCCCCGGAAAATCTTCTCTTTAGCACTGAATCAGAGCAAACATCAATGTGGAGAAAACTTAATTGATATTTGTTGCGATTCAGAGGTAAACAGTGGGTTTTCCCATGGCAAAGCGGCAGGACAAGTGGAATTGTGGATGAGCCCTAAGTCTTGGCTGTTTTATGGAAATGTTTTAATTGGTCTGCAGAGACTCTGGTGCAACATCTGTTTGCTTATGTTGTGGTTTTATGTGGGTTCTAAGCCGGCTCTTTTCATATGCTGGCTATTTTTAAGTTTATTGAGTTTTTAAACAGTGAGTTCTTCTGGTATTGCTCACTGAGTGTTGTTTAGTATTTATGTTTGCCACTTTGCAATCTGCCACATTTTACTGAGAAAGCAGAATAAAAATCTTATAAATCAATGAGTTTTGTTACTGTTTCTTTAAAAATAGTGCTTTTGTCTAAGCAGTCATTAAGAATATTAAAGCAGTGTATGAAAGACAAAACTGCCCAATGCATTATATGTGAATTTGCGTGCTTGAGTGTCTGTGTTTAATTGCTTCTTCATTATTGCTTTTCTTTTTACATTTTTAGCTGCTTCTATTTTATCTGTAAGATGCCTTGAGTCCCAATCTTGGGGAAAAGGCAGGAAATAACGATGATGATGATGATACAATAACATACATCAACATCTAATCTCCACCATGACTGAACAAGTGTCGCAACCAGTGTCGCAACCAATACTGGGAATCAGGTGGGTAAATAGGTCTCTGTTCTTTCTAGAAACACTTCCTGAGGTTTTGGTTACCCATTGCAAGGCAGCAACCATTTAGATGCTTCTACAGACATAGTGAGCCTAAGAAGTGGGCAGCTAAGGAGCTGCACAGAAACAGCTATTTGCAGGCTTGGGGGAAGGCCCACAAACTATAAGAGGGTTTCTGATGTAGGCTGCCCTGTCTCTGGCATCAAGAGCTGCTGTGGTTTAGCATCAGGTCTGAGCATACATCTCAGCGCTGGCACCTGCCAGTCCACCTAATCCTAGTTTCTGGCAGAGTTCTGCTTCACAGCAGTCATGGCTACGCTTAATCCACAAGGAATGTGCAGGCCCCCTAATCTGGTGGATCAAGAGCTGTCGAACATTCAGCAAACTTCCTTGCATCCCATCTTGCCAAAGAAGGCTCAGCCCATGCCGGCCAAATGTCCGTGGCCACAACCTCATGTTTGTTGTGGGGGCATGCAAAGTGTGACTGGGTGGCATATGGATGTCGGACCATGCTATGGCCAGGTGTCTACACACAGCATGCTTCAGTCACCAGGGAGGAGGTGGCCCTACAAAAGGACACCTTCTCTTGCCATTGCCAGATCACGCTACGTTTCAGCCAAATTTAAGCTTGTGGGTCTGAATATTTTTGGACACATTCGTTTAAAAATGCTGTTTGCCTCCCATCCAAACAGCAATTGCCTCGTCTGAGATGTCAGATATGCAAATATTTTTAATCATCATGTTGCAAGTCTAACTACACAATGGTCAAAGAGCAGCATCAAGGAACAATGCCCTCTCCTCCTCCCCCCAAGTTCTAGGGTTTGGATGACCCCCACCCCCCTCTCACATTCACACACACTTTCCATTCCTATGACAGATGCAAAGTTTGGCCACAGAATCGAGAGAGTTGAATAAATCCAGTGCTGGATAATCCCTAACAAATGTCCGTTCAGACTCAGCCTGAAACCCCCTGTCCCATGTAAATTGGTTCCACTTGTTCCTCCTAATAGTCAAGAACAATCAACTCTCCTCTAGTTGAAGTTCCACCATAGACCTTCCTTCTGGGGCCATATCACAAGTCCTTGCCTTCGTCTCTGCAAAGGGCATTCAGGTATTTGAAACATAGTGATAACATCCGCTTTAAAAATAGCTCCGTGCCCTCCTGCTGCACCAAGCTTGGACAACAAAAGGGCATTGAGAACCATTCTTGCCCAATGCTTCCTGCCCCTCCCCTGCAGGCTTGACGAAAGGTACAGCCCAGCGTCTTTGGATGGAAGGCCAGTTTCCCCAGACTGGCGCCCTCCAGGTGCTTTGGACTACAGCCCACATCAGCTCCAGCCAGAAGGGCTGTACTTTTACCAGACCCAAACCCATATAGCCAAGCTGGCAGAGGGGCGCCAGGCTGGTGAAAGCGTTGTTGCTTCTTTTTTGTGGGCTGCCTTTTTTGTCTGTCTGTCTGTCTGTTGCATTAATACCACACCTTTTTCTCCAAAGGAATTCAAGGTGGGGTACATGGTTGTCCCTCTCCTCATCTAATCCCCACAACAACCCTGTTATTTAGGTTATACGGTGATATCTTTTTTGAAAAGATATCTATCTATATTCTGCAAATTAGATGATATAGATAGATAGATAGATAGATAGATGATAGATAGATAGAGAAACTACAAATACGGAAATATTTACCGTATTTTTCACTCTATAAGACGCACCAGACCACAAGACGCACCTAGTTTTTGGAGGAGGAAAACAAGAAAAAAAATATTCTGCATCTCAGAAGCCAGAACAGCAAGAGGGATCGCTGCGCAGTGAAAGCAGCAATCCCTCTTGCTGTTCTGGATTCTGGGATAGCTGCGCAGCCTGCATTCGCTCCATAAGACACACACACATTTCCCCTTACTTTTTAGGAGGGAAAAAGTGAGTCTTATAGAGCAAAAAATACGGTATATGCTTCTTTGATTGTCTTTGGTTCTTCCTCCCATACTTGCCACCCTCTCCTGCCACACCCCCTGCTCTAACTACTACACTACACTGGCTTTGATTCTGATGATCCAAAGTGGCTGAGGGGTGGGCAGGTGTCCTTTGTTTTTTAAAGCTTTTGCCACGTTTGCTTCTATACCTTCCAGGCATCCTTACCCATTTTTGTTCTCAAACCCCTACCTACTCATCCTGGGGTGGGAGGGTGCAGAGAAAGAGAAGGTGGAAACCAGGAATCTCCTTAAAGGGAGTGAAATCAAGATGGATGGCATTTCATTCTCTCTCTCTCTCTCTTTCTCTCTCTCCCCCCCAATTTTCTCAGATTCCTTTCCTCCCGTCGTTCTCCTTGAGTAGAGCAGAGTTTTCACTGCCAAGAGAGCGCTTGCCTCCCACACCACTGGGGGCAGGGTGTGTGTGACTGAGAACCAGCAGAAAGGCAATCTGATGCTGCTACAGTTCCCCCCCCCCCCGCCTACCCACCCTGTCCCATCCCACTATCTTCAGCCAGTCACCCTGACATTCCTTCACAGCAATGTAACTCCTGTAACAGCCCCTGCTGTTTATTCCGCAAGGAAGAGCAAGGTCAGGAAGAGCGTCTGCGTGCTGGCTGGTACCAGGTACAGGCGGGGGCCCTCGTGACTGGATTCCACCCTGATAACAGAGGTGGGGGTGCAGACACTGAGAAAAGACCCTTGTGGGAGCTGCTTCAGCACAAAGCTGGCAAGTGGGGAGTGAATCAGGGCCCATTGAGATGGTTTGGTGTCACAGAACAATCTGAGCTGCAGAAAGGAATTCAAGAGTCCCTTGAATTGCCCATCCTTAAGATATTGGCTGGCTTGAGTATTCACAAGAGGGATGGATGGCCAACTTGGGGGCCTCCGGGTGCTGTGTGCTACAACTCCCATCAGCTCCAGCAGACAGAATGGGATGATGGGAATCGTAGTCCAGCAACAACATCTACCCTCCAGGAGTCACCACACTGGCTACCTGTGACCGAAGACATTTCTGATCACAGATGCCCCCATGACAAACCATTCTGCTCTCTGCTTCATCATCCTAGGACCACCATCCATGGATAACTAAGTTGTTGCTGTTAATTACCCACCCTTCACCCAAAGGTCCCATGGTGAGTTAAATAAGTTAAGTAAACAGACAGCAAGATGTTCTCCCTTGTGTTCCTGTGGGAAGATGCTGGTGACACATGAAGTGCCCTTAGTGCGCTGGGGGAACCTCAGGCAAGGGGGAGTGAATGTGGCCCTCCAAGCTTCCCTGCCTGGCCCCTGGGACTCTCCCAAGGCCAAACGCCTCACTGGCCATGCCCCATTGCCTCTTTGAGTTGCATCCTCCTGCACAAAGGTAAAATGCACTACTGTGCCCCACCCACTTTTGCATTTGGCACGTGCCCCTTCCCCTGCAGTTGCCCCAAAGGAACACAGCCCCCAACCTGCAAGTAGTACCTGTGTAGCCAGGTAGGCACTGGCAAGCATAGTGGTCCATCAGGTTGAGGCAGGTGCTGTTGTGTTGGCAAGGCCGGGAGGCACACTCGTTGATGTCTATTTCGCAGCGGTAGCCCTGGAAGCCAGGCACACAGAAACAACTGTACTCGTTAGCCCTGTCCAGGCAGATGGCCCCATTCTGGCACGGGCTAGAGGCACACTCGCCCACGTCCTCCTCGCAGTGGGCACCGCTGTGGCCAGGTTGGCACCGGCAGCTGTACTCCCCAGCACTCTCCACGCAGGTGCCGTTGTTGCGGCAGGGCTGGCTGGAGCAAAGGGAAGGCCCAGCCTGGCAGCTGCCCCCGCTCGGGCACTGGCAGCCATACCCACCAGGCAGCTCCACACACTGCAAATGAGGCTGCAGGCAGGGGCTGCTCTTGCACACCTCGCCTTCGCTGCTGCAGGAGAGAGCTGCCAAGCCGGGCTGACAATGGCAGGTGTAGTTCAGGTGTCCAGGAGTCCCGTGGCAGATCCACTCAGGTAGGCAGGGGTGCCCGGCGCACACGTCGTAGAGGTATTCACAGTCTTTTCCCACATAGGCTGAGAGGCTCTGGGGACAGAGGCACCTGTAGCCATCTTCCAAGTCTTTACAGGTGCCTCCATTCTTACATGGAGATGAAGAGCAGACGCTGACCAGCTCGGAGGAGACAAGCCCTGGAGACGGGGAGGCAAAGGCAACTGTGAGGCAGCTGGACAGCAGGTGTCGCCGCAGTGTGCAAATGTGCGTGGTGCAAATGTGCTGCAAATCCTGGTGGGGAGCATTTTCTAGGGGAGGGCTGGTGGAGTGAGCTTGGTCCCTTGCTGTCTCCAGTAGCATTTGGGTGAATGCCTACATTGAAATTATTGGCAGCGCTGGTAGCAGTGGGGGAAGAGGCGAGTGAGGTCAAAGATGTGGAGAAGACAAGAGAAGAGGGTCCAAAGGGTCAAAACCAAAATGGCAAATTCCAGGAGGATTCCTGTATGTGATGACTTGTATTTTTTGAGAGTAGGTATAAACCTTTTGCTACACATGCCACTTGTAGAGACAAGGGTATGATTCTGACCTTTGTGTGGCATAGAGGTGAGAGTGTGACTAGGACTTGGGAGACCCAAGTTCAAATCCCTACTCACTGGGTGACCTTGGGCCTGTCTTGCTCTCTCAACCTAACTTACCTCACAGGGTTGTTGCGAGGACAAAACAGGGAAGGGGCAGACGTGGATAGGCTACCTTGAGCTGCTTTTGTACAGTTCTGGTTACCTCACCTCAAAAAGGATATTGTTGAGTTGGAGAAGCTTCAGAAAAGGGCACCAAAATGGTCAAAGGAATGGAGCAGCCCTCCTACGAAGGAAGGTTGCATCGTTTGGGACTTTTTAGTTTGGAAAAATGGTAAGAGATGACAAGATAGAAATTTATAAAAGTATGCATTGCATGGAGGGAGGATAAGGAGAAGTTTTTCTCCCTTTCGCCTAACACTAGAACATGTGGACATCCAATGAAGTTGAACGTTGGATGATTCAGGACAGCTAAAAAAAAGTCCTTCTTCAGACAGCAGTTAAACTGTGGAACTCTCTCCCACAGGAGGCAACGATGGCCACAAATTTGGATGGCTTTAAATGAGGATTAAACTAATTCATGGAGGAGAGGGCTAGCTTCCAGGTTGGATTTGTGGGTGGGTGGTATACTAAGCAGATCCTTAATGATTTTTTTTAATTTAATAAGCTTATATAACACTTTTTAAGCATTCCCTACCATCACCAAAGTGGTTTACCAGTCACATGTCATATACAGCCAACAAAACCAGGAAAGCAAAACCATAAAATTACGACACAAAAATCTCAAAACAATTTTTTGGAAACATTACTAAAAGCAAAGAGTGACAACCCTAATCCAGCAAAATGTAAAAGGATCACCACCGGGCAAAAAGTGGGGGAGGCGGTGGGATGCCAGAGTCCTTCACCAGAGAGGATGTTCATGAACATTTTAAAATGTCTTCGTTCATTGTTGGGGTCTTTGCGAACCCTCAATGCCCCTTCTCTTGAGAGGAGGAGCTGAAGGGCTCCCTTTGTCTGCCCTGCTGACACTTCTGCGTCACCCCAAAGATGGTCTGCTTAGTCAACTGTGTGGCATGTGTGCCACCCTCCTGGTTGCGTTTGCAGGGGGACCTCCCTGTGCAGATGCTCAGCCTTTCATGCACGCGCGCACACAGACAGACAGACACACACACACACACACACACACACACACACACCATTCCCGCCTGGTTTCAAGCCACATTCCTCCATGAGCTACCTTTCACCCCGGGGTGGGGGGGTTTCCAGGATGCAGGCTTCCGTTCCATCCCTCCGCCCCTGCCAGCCCAGCTCCATGTGACGCTGGGGAATGTGCTGCGCTCCACACAGCCCAGCGCACCCTTTTCATCAGCCCTTTTATTCTTGAATTCCCGCTCAGGCAGAAAAAACAGGAATGACGGAACATGCCTGGAATCCGCTGTGGCAATTAAGAGTGGGAAGCGCAGGCAAGCCTCTCTTAATGAGCAGCCAGGAAGCGCTTCGAACAGGCCTGCCCCAAAAGGCACTGGCTGCTGCAGCCACAGCAGACATAGCTGGATGGGGTGCACCTGGAAAGGAACCCCAGCTGCAGGTGGGAAAGCAGGTGCTGAGCTACACCTGCTGCTGGGTGAAGGCTGGAGCCAGAGAGGCCAGCAGTGGCATCCTCTGGATGCAGGTGACCACGGGCACCTGACAGAGGACGGTTCTCTGTTTGAAGGGCTGCCCACTCCAAGCCCAGTTTGAATATTTAGAGCCCTAGAGATCAGGGCCAGCTCACCCATGAGGCAAGGTGAAGCAACCGCCTCAGGCAGCAGGGTGCACAAAGGCAGCAGGTCCTGATGTAGACCTTTATCTCCCTCCCCCCTTTCCCTGATGTAGATTTGCACTCACCCCTTCCTCCCTGGTGTGGAGGGGGACACCACTTTGTGGTTTGCTCGGGTGCCAAACTGTCTTGAGTCAGACCTGCCTGCAGTTGCCCATCAATGGTGAGTGTCAGCAGACTGAACAGGCCCACAGCTTGCCTGGTCACAGTCCTCCCCACTAGGGAGGGATGTATTGCATTTCTGTCAAAACCCCGTTGTTCTTTCTAAAACTGCATGTGCAAATCTGCCTTTTCGATGATACATTTTCTCTCTTTGGTGATGCATAACTGCTCCTCCAGCAACCAGGATGGTTCAGGAAGGGAGAGGAAGGGGGCCCAGCCAGCTACATCAGTGTCTGGTACCGGTCAGAGCAGAAGTGCCTGTATTCACCTTCCTAAAGCAGAGGGGTGCTTCTCCCCTCCCCCCGGGGTGTTCCAAGGGGGGACAGGGGACTGTCCACCCGTCCAAAGGGGCGGGGTGATGAAATGCCAACCCCCGATCGGCGGCACCCCCAGGGTGAGCCACACCCCACATGGGCGGCACGCCATGTCCTCGGGACACGCGCCACGCCCCCAGGGACAAGCACCGCTCTGGGTACAGGAGCAGGTTGCTTCACCTCTGCTCCCCCCAAACTTCACATCTTCTTAGTTGCCAGCCCTAATCCCAGATATCAGGTCTGACTGTGATTATTCAATGGGTAGGAAAAGTATGCCTTCCACAGCTTTAGGTGCTGCTGCTGCTGCTACGAACAGGTTCAGCGCCTCTGCTGAAATTCACCCCTGCATCGTGCAAATGCTGAGAGAAACTGCACACATTCTGGTGCTGTTAAACAGGTTCCGGGCTGAGTCCTGGATTGGATCTAGTTTTGTTTAGCTCTGGCCAGAACGGGGTGCAAAATGTACTGTTTAAGGTCTGGGCAGTGTGACTCACGGTAGACCCCTACAAGCAATAACACTGCAGAAACCATGCAGGGAGCAGAACCACAACCATAACCAAAAACCACATCCAGGGCCTGTGAGAAGAGCTTCTTCATTCGTCTCTACATTAGGCACACAGCACCCTGCACATCCAAAGCCAGTTGCGCAGTCATGTACATACATGCCTCTCTCTTGGGAAGCAGCACTGAGGACTGTCAGGGACCATGGGAAATACATAAATAAAACACAATGAATAAATTGTGCCCTGCTTTGTTCCTGAAATGAGATGTTTGCATCCGAGAACTCACCCTTTTCCATAAACTCTGCTTTCAGCCTTTGAAGTGGTCTGGCCTATGGGCTCAGGCTGTTATTATATTAATGAGTGCCATGAATACGTACCATGCATAATTGGCACAATGCCACAATTAGCCGTTGCTCCTTAAACGGCTCAGAGATGGGAAATCTGCTGCATTAGGGATGTGATGTGTGACCACCTTCTCCTGCATCAATGTGCACAGGATTTGTTTCTGCTGAGTCCTTCTCAGAGTGCCACCACATCAGAAATTAAACAGGTGGCAGCAGGAGAGGAGCCTACTTCTCTGTGACCTACAGGGACTGGCAGCGGGACTCCCCAGGGTTTCAGGAAGTGGCCCTACTGGGGGAGGCTGAGGGTGGAACCTGGGACCTTTCGCACGCAAAACGAATGATATTCCTCTGCCACTGAAAGGTGTGTGTCAGGTTATTTTTTCACAGATCAGATGGGGAATGAGACTATACTTTCAATACTGCAGACGAGTGATCAACTCCAGCGTCTGGTTTAAAATATGTGATAAATTTGGAAAGTGCTTTTAATTCTGTTCTTCTGTAGAGTTTTAATTGTGCAATTATATTTTACTGTAATTTTCAATTGTGAAACTCCCTGGGATATATTATAAAGGCAAACATAAAAAAATAATTTATGTGTTGGGACTGCAGGAATGTCTGGTTTTCTTTAAATTATTGCTATTTGTTTGATTTTTATCTGTCTCTTCCTCCCAAGGAATCCAGGAAGACTATACAACATCTAAGTTGACAAAAAATTAATAATTAAAACATCGCCACATTTTAATACAAGTGAAAAGATATATCAGTCTCTAATGCCCAATGTCCAGCTGCTGAAAAGTGACCACTGTCTTGCACAGATGCTGCAATCATTGGTCTACAAGGAACGCCAACACCTTGACCTCTTGCTCTACGTTTTTATGAGAAAACAGCACTAGAGGATCCCACTACCTTCTTCCAGAGCGAATGCCATGCACATTTGAGAAGGGAGAACGGATTAGGATAAACTTCAAAGCCAGCCACAGTTAAAGAGCATAAGCGGAACACATCTCTCTCCCCCACCCCTCCTTTTCCCACCTGGGGGGTGAGTCTGGAGTTCGCATTTACAGATGTCTTGGTGAGTAAATTGCTTTGACATGGGATTCTGTGTAAGATGTGATAAAATCCCCCTTTAATTTTAACACAAACTCTGAATGAATCTCAGAGTTTCCCATGCAGAGGGACTGACTGATTGCTAAACCACTCTGAAAATTGTAGCTCTGAGAGGGCGTGCAAGCAACTCCTAACTACAGTTCCCATAATTCTTTGGGGGAAGCCATATGACTGTTTAGAGTGTTGTCCTGTACGGTGTGAAATTGGCCGCAGCTGCCTTGAAAGAGCTTAGCCTGCAGAAGAGAAGATTAAAGGGATGCATGGCAGAGAGGAGATGAAGCAGGTGTATTTTTTGTTGCTCTGGGGGGCAGCGTGAGAGTAAATGGGCAGAAGCTGCAAAGGAGCTTTTTGGCTAGACAGGAGACACTTCAGAAGCTCAACGGACTCTGTTAAGGATGCTCTCAGTGCACTGAGCCGGGAAGGAGAAAAGGGGGTCAGACAAGGTCATGCATGGATGGGGGAGAAATTCTCACCTCCTAATGCGTATCTGTCTGATTTACATTTCCCGAAACAATATGCAAAGCAAAACTCAGCTA